GATCTAATAGTCAGTGTTTATGCATCTCGAATCACCTATCTTACTGAATTTTCGCTGTTGACTAGACTATACACGGTTTTACTCTATAGGCTCGTTGATTTACGAAAACAAAAATTCTTAGAGATTGATGTTTCCTATTGTATATGCTCTTTGAACGTAAGAACGACATTTTTATGTATGAAAGCAGATTGGTTTCATAAAGTTCATTGACAATGATTTGAATTTTAAACTTTTCATATCAGTAACAAGTGAAGAGTGACGATAAAGTTTTGGAATTTGAACAGATTCTATTTCGAGTTTTATTTCTTTCTGTGATATAAAAGGCAGCAGAATGAAAAACCATTTTTTATCGATCGACGATTGCAATGAGATAACTACGAAATAAAGAAGCATGTTGAGTTGAATTCGATCAGGGTCTAAATGAACATGTATGAAATGTGTATTTAAAAAATATAAGATAGGCTACTTTATACCTGATTATTCACTTCATTAGTTTCGATATTACCAGAACATGACGTGCGACGACATTCGACTTTCTTAATTCCTATTGGATCAAATTGATGTTGGCTCCGAATTTGCTTGATCCACCCTATCACAAAAAAGAAAACTCCATGTAAATAGAATTAGTGGTTTAAAAATTTACCTTCGACTCGATGCTGTTTCCATCGATCGTGAAGGCCATATCTTTCACTGTTGTGCTTGATATGTGTTCTGTTCATGTAGAAAACGTTGATTTCGCTGCTGTGCCGTGCAAATTTATACAGATCTTCATGTGTCAAAATAGCAGAAGATGAATTACTAGAAAGCGTGTGTCGATTTGCTGGGTGTGGGTGTGGGTGTGGGTAAGAGCAAGATTGGCATCACACTCACACCCACACCCTCAAACCATCTACTAAATTAAATCGAAATCGAATCTGTTCAAAATGGAGAACTTTATCGTCACTCTTCACTTATTACTAATATGAAAACTTTAAAATTCAAATCATTGTGAATGAACTTTATGAAATCAATCTGCTTTGAAGCATAAAAATGCCTTTGTTACGCTCAAAGAGCACATGCAATACGAAAAATCAGCCTCTTAGAAATTTTTGTTTTGGTAAATCAACGAGTGTATAGAGTAAAACCGTGTATAGTCTAGTCAACAGCGAAAATTCAGTAAGATAGGTGATTCGAGATGCATAAACACTGACTATTAGATCCAGTTCTTCATGCTGATTACGAATCTGAGGTTCATTTCCGCTTTTGAACATTTAATCTATGAGAAAATTTTGAATTACCGTGCAAAAATGACTAAAAATTGCATTTTTTTATTTTTTTCAGTTTTTTTGCCCAGAATCTCACTCCCGTAAAAATTCAACTACACAGGAAGATAGAGCAAGTTCCGCTCTATCGAATGGTATATGTCACCAATTCGGGGAATTCCAATTTTGTACGAAATTAGTTACCGATTTCTTAAGTTATGCCTTTTTTCCGGTTCTATGTTTTCATGCATAGATTTATGAAAGATAGCTCAAAAATAGGTTTTCTAATAGAGCTTTGAATGAGCTACAAGAATCTGTCCTCGGTTTCGAAAAAAGAAATAGTATAGTTGAGCAATCACAAAAACATTGAAAAAATCGCGTTTTTTTTGAAAGAAATGCTTAAAAAAGTATTTTTACAATTTCTCTGTTATTTTGCAATCAAGTTCAGGACTTTTTTATACCAAAATGATCAGCGTAAAATTTTCTACAAGCCCTCCAGGTTCATCAAATTCGGAGATGGTCATCGTAACTCGCTGGAGGAAGCTGGCGGAATCACCCATGCTTATCCTTGAAATTCACAAATTGTTTTTCAATTAGAAAAAGGAAGCATCGAATAGTTCTTATTTACCGGATCCGGTTGGTCAAACGGCGCAATCCGGGTTCCATACCCGGATTGGAAACGGTCAGATCCTGGCTACGTATCTACATCGGAAACTATTCATATTTCTTCGTTTCCAATCGTCAAAAGGAAACGATCGAAAAAGCACTGCGAAATCCTGCTGTAAATGGAAACCATGGGAAACGTAGTACGGAATCTTACTGTAAACGGAAACCGTACCCGCTTATCGCTTCCGAAACCAAGAATTAGCGGGAAATACCCTGGAAACGGAGGCCGAAAAACTTTTCGGAATACTCCTTCCGGAATTCGATGGAAAATCGCCGGATCAGACTGTTTTCCGCCGTAAGTATTTGACTTGGGATCTATCATTGCAAAAATACGGTTTACCAACGAGAGATGTGTTCACCAAAAAGATGTTCTGATCTACATTTTTTGGGAGATTGAGAGCCCTATCATTATTCCAAAATTCTAGAATTTTCATAGAATTCTGAACTCATTCGAATGAATCAGATTATTCGAATTGTAGAATCATGAGAACATCACAATAACTAGAATTATCGGAATAGTAAGAATCATTAGAAATATCGGAATTTTACAATAATAAGAATTTTAGAATTATCAGAATTTCAGAGTAGTTAACTAGCCTGAAGCATGAAATTTTAGCGTTTGAGAGAGATATACTACTTGAGTTTGAAATAATCAGAATTTCAAAATAAGTATAGATTTTAAGAGTGTTAAATTATAAAGAATGCAACATTGTCCTCGATTTGTTGATTGTGGTAATTTGTAGATGTGTAATATTAAAAAAACTCTACTACTCATGTAGACTCGCATAATAGATGGCATAAAACATACATCGAGAGTTTATTGTTTTAAAACTGTATGCATGAATAATAACTTGTACATCAAACTCAATCAAATAGTACAGTTTTTTAATAGTGCAGGTCTACAAATTACCACGATTAACAAATCGAGTATAATGCTATATTCTTATATAATTTGACACTCTTAAAATTTATATTCATTTTGAAATTCTTATTATTCCAAACTTAAGAAGTATAGCTCTCTCGAACGCTAAAAATTTCATCCGTCACCTTCAGGCTAGCTTACGACTCTAAAATCTGATAATTCTAGTTATTGTGATGTTCTCATTATTCTACAATTCGAATAATCTGATTAATTCAAATGAGTTCAGAATTCTATGAAAATTCTAAAATTTTGGAATAATGGCACTGGTGACATTGCAAAAGAAAGAATGCTGACTGGTAAAAAGACAATTACAGCTGTACCATCAACAACAAAATCCGAATACTTCTCAAATATTAAGACGTATTTCAAGATAGAATAAACCACAAGGAATAACCTGCATAAATAGTAGCCATTCCATGTATCGCTACCATCCCAGGTTGCACAGATACGGTGGGAAACGGCCGGAAAGCACGGGAAATCGCTGGAAAGTGGAAGCAGTATTCCGGCCGGAAAAAATCCGTCACTTTCTGACCGGAATACGGCTTCCACTTTCCGACTAGATGCGGCGATTTTTCCGCATCTTTCCGGTCGGTTCCTACGGTATCCGCCCTCCGGAATCATTGGCCTGGGGTGCTAAGCCTGCTCAGTGACTGATACAAAATTAGCGACATCTATATTATTTTTTATCATTTCGCCTAAAATCCTTTTGCGTCTTTATTAGTTGATGTTTTTTAGCTGGAAATAAATTAGAATCTTAATTCCTAGCGCGTGTGTATGTGCGAAGTATAGATGAGAAACAAATCTGTAATACTAAATCAATCGATTACACCAGACCACGGACTACTTCAAAGAAAAGAGCAGTGCGCATGAATATAATGTATCGGTTACTGTGGCAAAATAAGCACGTTTACAATTTCTTTTTTTCATCTATGACTCAGTCTTTACTTTTTTTGTGGAAGGAAAGAAAACAATCACGCGCTAACCGTTAAATTTTTGACGAGAGAAGGACTAGCTTAGCATTCATGTAATAGAACGTTGATTTAAACAAATAGAAATTTCAAAATAAGTGCACTTGTTTTTACTGTCTTTTCTATTGAATTTCTTTATAGACATATTGTTGTCTCCTATAAAGAAACCTCGCAGTTAAACTTTTAAGGATATGAATAAAAAAGAAGCCACGATTTGTCCCTATTCACTTGTTTTCTTTTTATCTCTGAAAAGTAAGAAAATTCATTAGAGATTATGAGATAGTTGAGAATAAAAATAAAATCAGCTATCTAATGGGATGATGTAAAAAAATATTAGTAGTTGATTAAATGACAAGAAACACATTTTTGCTTTTATTGACTAACAGAAAAATGAAAAAATGTGAGTCCGCTGACCTTTAGTTGTCAGCAAGTAACAGAAAAAAGTATGATAATTTAAGAAAATTCTTTGTAAATAAATCAATAAAACATTTTCGGTGTTCTTTTTTTCTAAATAGATAATGATATCTAATGAAACGTTAATAGCCGGTGAAGAACTCTTGAATGAATTATGTCACAATTCATCAAATGATTTTGACGAATTTTCGTTAGAGCTTGTGAATGATCTTTTACAGAGAGATATTGATTATTTGAATATCAATGGTTCAGTAATTAAAGAGGAAAACGGGGATACATCATCGACAATTGAGGTAAAAAAAATTCTAAGCGTTCTATTCTATTGTAAAAACGTTTTTCTTTCTCTAAATAGGTGAATAAATTTCAATTAAACATACCAATTGGAAACAGTCCGTTAAAAGAATATACTACACCTGCTCTTATTTGTCGTGTATGTGGCGCACCAGCACATGGCTATAATTTTGATCAGATTACTTGTGAATCATGTAAAGCGTTTTTTCGTCGAAATGCATTAAGAAATATGGTAATTATATCATGATATTCAGTTATAAATAAATGATGAACTTTTAGTTCAATTTTATGCATGAACGTTTTAATTTATTAACATATCAGTCAGTTTTTAATTACAAACTGAGTCATGATGATTTGTTTTTGAAATCTATGTGCTAAAATAGACTGACTTTCAGAGTTTTGAGTGCTCCTTCCTTTTTCAAATATTCGCTATAAATCTAATTGAGGTTATTCAGTACTAATTCTTTTTACATGTTGCATAATCATGAATTATATTTTTAAATTGATTCTGAACACGTGTAAATTTTAGACAAGTCAGAGCTATCTTCACAAATTTTCCATCATGACCTATGAGACCATGTCCGGCTATCGCTTGTTCGGTAAGCCGGTGACTTAATCGAGAATATGGGTGTTTTCCTTCCGTAAGCTGAGAACAGCACTGGCATTTGTGGATACGTGTCATAGCAAGCAGCGTTTTTAGACTTCTTCATATGTCAGTGGATTTCCACCTCTGAAATAATCATTATGGGATTTATAAATCCATAAATATCCATTGATGGAAATGCTAGTAAAATAAATATTATTTTACTATACAAAATATATGAAGCACTAATCCTTGTCAGCTTTGTCTTATCACACTGAAGCACACTTTTCCTTTTTTTTTGTTTAACAAAAAAATCCAATTTCAAAAAGGATTAATCATCTGGAACTTGTTTCATCGTCAGACATGTTTTATTTCATTTAGTGATGGTTCATTAACTGAATAGAATCCTTTTTTAGTCTATCAATTTCATCTTAGCAAGTTCTCATTTATCAAAAGAAAAAACTCAATTGCAGAAAGGAATTTTAACCTGATTTAAATTTCATTTTTATAGCGGAATCTAAAATGTCGCTTCACTGGTAACTGTGATATTGATATGAAAAATCGTCGCCTATGTACTTATTGCCGATTAAAAAAATGTTTCGATATTCAAATGCGCAAGGAATGGATACGTACTGAAGAGGAATGTCAAATGCGACAGTTAAAAAAATTAACGAATCAACAAAAACCATTAAATAAATTATCATCTGATGAACTTAAATGCATTGGCTATCTTCCATTAGTTGTACAAAGAAAAAAACGTCTTAAACCATTAATGTTAAAAAACGTAAAACTAGAACGTGTTCTAAGAATCGAACCAGTAAATAAACATCGTTATAAAAAATTTAATCATTACATTATTATTGTGTTTTTCAGATTAATCCAATCCGAACGTTGGCTATTCATCGTAATTTAACTGATGAGAATAGAACTATATTAAATAATATTGTAAACGCTTATAAATTTGGAGCTGATCAAGCTGATTTCTCTCATATGAGTCGATATACATCAACAGCAACATTTACACAATTTTTAAACGATGAAACTGCTATGTATGAATCATTAATTTATTATTTTAAGCAAATACCCGAATTTAAACAACATGGTCTAGGTGATAAAATTTCATTAATTAAATATAATGTACTTGATTTAATACATTTACATCATATAATAGTACAAGATTTTCATGTACCATCACAAATTGGCCCACATATGTCACGATGGATGGGTCCAAATTTTCACGAGCAAATGCTAGAAGCACGAAAAAAATACGATTGCTTTATGAAATATCCACTTATATTAAAAATATCATTGATCGTATTTATATTTAGTATTAATTTATCAACACCTCATGACAGTAGTCAATTTATGGACTACACAAATAAAGAACAAATATATGAATGTCAAAGTTTTTATGCCTTATTACTTTGGCGATATTTAAATTATTTATTTGATGAACGTGAAGCAATAAGAGCGATGCAGTTTATTGTTATGCTACTTTTACGTTTTCAAACATTAATGACTGCCATCGACGAAAACATACGTAAAAATAACTTACAAAGTGACTTTAATCCATTGATGAGATCTGTTTTGAGACTAACTTGAACGAAGTTATTTATTTATTTATTTAAGCTATTTGCGTATACTATGTATATCAATATATCTATATGTGTTTTCGTTGGAGAAATCAGTTGTTTACTGCTTTCAAAAACCATCATTTAGATATTAGATTAGAAACTATTGAAATAATCTAACGTCCAGAAGCATGAAGAAAAAGCGATCTGAATATGTCAGGAGCAATAGATGAGTAAAGAACAGCCCGGAAATTGTTCAAGATATTAAAACTGAAATCGAATTCTTGCATCGTTTTATAAAGAGATATTTAATTTAGTTATTCATAATGTGTCTAGTTGGCCATTCAGGACGTTTAGTTTAAGGCAAAACTAATACCATAACTTCCGAAAACTTGTTTTTTTTAACAATGAATGAGTGGAAAATATTTTTTAATTAAGAATGTGTAGCTTTGTTTTCAGTTTCATCGCATGCAAAGCCTCGTATATTTTATTTATTTTTAGTAGTCAGATTAAGAATTGTATTCATTTTCGAAAGCCATTGTTATTAAAATAATAATGCTAAAGATAAAAACATCTAATTATTGGTAAATATTATTTTCAATGAAAAACACCTGTTTTGCTTTAAGATTATCCTCCGAAACAAAGGAACCACGCCATAAAACGAAGATAACAAATTTTAAGGCATTTAATATATAGTAAGTTAATTATTTTTCCTTTTTGTTTTAGATTTTTTCTTATCATGAAATTTTCTTTATCGCGTGTTAACTTGTAGTAAAATATTGTTCCGATAACTAAGCTGATAATATCAAGCACACCAAAAAACAAAGTCACGACTGACTCAGTTTATATTATACAAAGAACGCTCAATAAAATATCCCCAAAAAAATTGCATCAAACTGCAATGATTTACTAACCAATGAAAAATTATTGTTTTCCGCAAGACAAAGACTTTAAATTATTATTGAACAGATTAAATTTTATAATATGACTTATATGCAGCGTATGATCCAAACTGTAGATTATCCAATATGTTACTAGAATCTACAATAGAGATCCAAATATTATAATATTCTAGGCGAACAGTGACCGTCTAATGAATTATTTTCCCATAAAGTTCAAAATTCCTTTCCTAGATTATATCTGTTCTTAAATTAGAAATACAGCGACATAATCCGTTATAAAGACATCGAATTATTATAGAGAAAAAATAATAGAAAATTGGAGGAAATAGCTAAAATATTAGCATAAAGATTACATTCCATTTAATTAAGTCGATTTAAATCAGGATTTGAACAGTACACAAAAGATTATGCCCTATTTGTTTTCATCATAAACTCATGGGGAGCTTTGATAAATCTTAATTTATAAACACAATCTAATCTATTTTATTTTATTTAGATTAATTCTAAAAAAAATTAAAAATCATATCAGACCAAGTGGTAGTTCGTTCACTGACAATTGATACATGAAAAAAGAATGGCAAACGTCTCAAATAAAACTGTCTACAAGTTTCAATCAATCAGTAGATATTTTTCTAGTAACAGCTGCGTAACACAACATATGATTTTTATTGAATAAGGAAGTAGAAAAATATCATATTTCTAAAACATAAATCATTACTCATGTTGAGTATTATGACTAGCTATCAATAGATTCTGCTATTTAGTTATTTATTCATATGCACATAACAAATAAAAAGTAATAAAGTAATTCAACGACTTTCAGTATAATCAAATGTATTTCTACAATGAATTAATTTTGAAAGTGCTCGACGAAACTGTTGACCTGCGAAATAAAATATAAAAAATGCAAATGTATTTTTAATATACATCATAGCAAATACAAGCGAAAAAACCAAATTCATAATTCCAATCTTTTCACACTGTTTAGGCGATTGATAATTAATATAAATTTGTAAGGATAATGATGGAAAAATTGTTATAGGAAATAATAAATCAAGCCATATCAATGTTTTTATTATTGAACGTAAATTGTGATTTTTCGAATTAACAGACACATCCGAATTTCGTCTTCCGTCAAAGATCCTTCTTCTCGTTAAATAGATATTTCGAATAATTAATATACAACAAGTAATCATAGTAACCAATGGAATAATACCGAATATCATAAGATTATATATTGGCCAAATATTTTTCCAAAACGATCGATATGCTGTATTTAATGATGTACAGTGACATGTAAGTCCATCTAGAAAACAAGTATTGTCTAATGGAACTTCAGTAATAATCGGTTGATTAAAATAGATTAAAAAATGCCAATTAGCAAGAAATGAAAGTAAAATTAATACAAAACACATCATTTTCGCTGTACGACGTTGGCAGAATTTTTTTTTAAATGAGTGCTCATTTAAATATATAAAACGATCGATGTTGATCATAACAATCGTCCATATGAATAAATAACGAAATAAGTATGTTAAAAAAAATATAAATTTACATGTTATCGGAAGAAGAGTTTTTACTAATATGTTATCATCAAGTATAAATGAAAGGAGAAAATGATAATTCATATCAATTAATAAAATTACAATATTGATAATGCATAAAAAAATAAAATAAATATACACAGATAATTGGTTTGCCCATCGAATAAATATAATTAGAGCAATAAAATTGCCAGTAAGGCCAATTAAAATAAATGCTATTGTCCATATACGATAAATCCAATGGGCTATATTTGTTAGTTTTACAAATTCATCCAAACCAATCGGAACACTATCATTTTTTGTCATAGTCGAAAAATTATATCAATAGAGACTTTATAATCCAGTTATACGATTCTATCAATTGCACAGTTGTATATATATGAATAGAGCAAATATATTCATATCGATATTTTAATTGCATCGAAAATAGAGGTATTCTAAAGATTTAATTAGCGTTGAATCTTAGTTCTGTTTTTCTTTCTCCAATAGTTATTCCTCGATATAAATGAATGAATCACTTTCTTTTTGTATGGGACAGTTTTCATATAGAATATGCATCGGTTTACTTCTTCCATCAAACGATGTCATAATCAAAGAAAATACGTCTATAAATGAGAAGCTCGAATTCATTCGATTCTCAGATTTTTATTAGGTAGCATACTTGAAAATATTTTCTTTTCAATCGTCTGAATGATTATGAATTTCAATGACGTGGAATTCGCACTAGTTTTTTTTATGGCATAGGATGTGTGGATAACCTTCGAAATATTCTCAAAGCATCAAGTGTCATTATGACTTAGAAACTTTGCTAATTCATCAGCAAAACAGAATCTCGCCATCACTATGTAGTTCACATCTTAATTAAATAAACATGATATATAGAATTCGGTGAAAATTCTGAATTCAATAACATACTCAATGTTTAAGCCGAGTGTTCGAGAAAGAAAAACAACTTCGATAGTCACAAAAATCTGTTGTGTTTTTCGATCGTATGACCTCACAGGCGCGACACTACACAAATATTTGTCTGAAGTGTTGACATTATTTTCACTGCTGATACTTTTTCGCTGATTGCTAATGCCATACCCGTGGAGTATTGCGCGGAAGTATTTGACGCTGACTAGTTTTAATAACGTTTATTGTTCCAATCGAAAAATGAATTTTTTCAAAAAAACAAATGTAAATATTTTTATCTTGCCCATGTGGCGAGCGCAGGGTAAAAAAACATTGAGATAAATATGATAATTGTTTGTTTGATATTTCAATCTTTACCCTTTATACTTTCGATTTGTTGATAAAAAGAATTCAATGATGCACGGTTTATTCATGCATTTTTTTCAATGGATTATGAAATTCAAAGTGAAAACCATAAGATTTGAGTCTATTCAATTTATTTAATCATGTGCTTGATTCCCAAACACTCTCGTCTTAATATAATAGTAAAAAAAAAATAAAAGATAAATTCGATTACAAGTCAGTACATCTGAGTTTGTTATTTTTACCAGTGCGGGCACTTACTCTGATGAAAACTTTAAAAAAAACTTCGCAAGATCAAACGATTTTATGCATTTTTTCGGTGTACAAGTGAAATCCAATTAGTAAACAAACCGGTTTACAATCCAGTTATATGTGTGTTCTAGTTTCTACAACAGTAGTTGTTGCCTCTTTTCTTTTTCGTTCTGAATTTTTACAAAAAAAAACTTCGTTGCCAGAAACGCTTGCGTCATCAGTTTTGGTAAACACCAGTGTCGACTAAGAGAAGAGAAGTATCGTCACGTACATTTCTACTTACTCTATGACGTTACTCAATAGAAAATTATACATATAAAAAAACATGCAAATCGTTGCTTAGCTTCTTTTTCGATAAAATAGAAATAAGAAAATGTCGACAGCAAATGCATTGAATCACACAAAAGATAATAATAATTTTCGTGTCAAACGAAGAATTAATGAAACAAATCAAAAATTATTAATTAACACTTATAAAACCAATGATAATCAAGGACAAACATCAACAGGACTAAATGCTCAATTTTTTCATTCACAACTATTAATGGATATTCTTCTACGCATGAAAACAAATATCGATGATAAAAATGAACTAATAGATTTATGTAGAACAAAATTAAACAATGATAAAGATGAATTAAGTATTCTTTATGAATTTTCAGAAACATATTCATCCGATAAAGCTCTATGGTGGTATACAAGAGAAACATTTATTTATCAATTTTTAAATCAAGCCTTACGCATATGGGATATTAATTTACTGGTTTTATTTCGATTTTTGATATATGATATACAAAAACAACTTGAACTCAATCATTGTCAAGATTCTATATGTGTTTATCATGCACAATTAATATCAAATAGTGAATTCAATATTTTGAAAAATTCTATTGGAGAATTCATTTCAACAAATTCATTTCTGTCGACAAGCATTGATATTGATGAAGCATTATCGTTTATTGATGATTCTATTCTTAGAGATAATCTGCAGCCAGTTTTAATTGTCATCAATGCTGATCCTACTATAAAAGGTGTTAAACCATTTGCTAATATTGCTCAACATAGTTATTTTACTGATGAACAAGAAGTACTGTTTATGTTAGGATCAGTATTTCAAATAAATAATGTTTGCTATAGTGAAGAATATCATATTTGGATAATAAATATGACACTGTGTAGTGATCATAATCATAAATTAAAGCCCGTATTTGATTATATGAAAAATGAATATGGAAATGGAGAAACTGGTCTTCTTTCACTTGGTCGTGTGCTAAGACAAATGGGAAAATTTAATGAAGCAGAAAATTATTATCTAAAATTTCTTAATAAAAAACAGTCGGATTACAAGAGCCAAGCACAATGTTATCATTTACTTGGAAATATTGCTTTTGATAAAGGCGATTATGATTTAAGTCTTGAATATCATCTGAATTCGTTGGATATTAAAATGAAAAATTTCCAAGTAAATGATCCTAGTCTTGCCTATAGTCATAATAGTATTGGCATTGTTCATTGGAAAAAGGGCAATAAAGACAAAGCTATTGAATCTTATAATAAAGCATTGAAAATTTGGGTTCAACTCTATGGTGAAGAAGATTTAAAAGTTGCAATGTGTTTTAATAATATGGGTATTGTATATGACGATGAAAAAAAGTATGCTGACGCATTACGATGCTATGAAAAGACATTGATGATTCGTTTAAAACATCTTCCGATTGGTCATTGTGATATAGGTGACACATACAATAATATGGGTGCTGTTCATCGTTGTCTTGGTAACTATGATAGAGCATTGTACTATTTTAATCGTTCTTTAGAAATCTATGAAAAATCACTATTCTCTCAACATCCGTCGATAGCATCAACTTATAAAAATATTGGTATTGCACATGAAATAAAAAAGAATCTTGTAGTAGCATTAAAATTTTATAATAAAGCGGCAGATATTTTTCATGAAACATTATCAATGAAACATCCCGATGTCATTGAAATTAATCGACTAATACGAAATGTTTCGTATCGAATCAATGCATGAGTCAAACTCGTGTGGTTTTTATTGTTTTATGTAACTGAATTTTAATGAATAATGTTAATTGTACATATATTTTTCAAAGAAAATTCACTTCAGATATTTATAACCAAGTTCTATTTTATCGCTATTTCCAATCAACTTATGATTTAATCGAACTTCTTCAATTTTGTTGAGCCAAACGTAGATGTTTCTGATGCAGTGTCTATTTCTTTAGAAATAATTTTTACAGAAAGCTCTATACAGTCATAGAGATACGTTTTGAACTATTTTCCCAGTATTATCATAATCCATTCTCAGCTGTAGAACACATAGCTCGTCTTACAATAAAAATTTATGAAATAGAAGCAACACTTAAGACGATCAAACGGCTTCTGAAGTAAGTTGAACTGCTATGTTTTATGAGCGATTCATATCTTTGGTGAGTTGACTCCGTCCTATATCTATCAAAATGATATGCATGCATTCGTTCACAAGTTCGATAACACCATTAAAACAATATAGTAATTATTTAGTTGTATTCAGTAGAACCAGACATTTTTCTTCGTTTCTTTAAACAAGATCTAAACAACTTGAGTAAATGACCAATCACGAGTTGTGTAATATTGAACGCATACATGATGAAATATTAGAAAGCACTTTTAGAACACTTTATATTCATTTGAAACGTAAGAAGTGTCTTCTATTACTTCTATTAGTTGAGTTAGCACTTGACTATCGTAAATTACTTGGCTTCACTTTTGTTGTATGGTATACTATTTACATCATTCTGAATCATCATTCACATATCAATATTTGTTGATTTTTTTTCTTCATAGATTGACTTCATTGGCGAGCTATATTGAATGCCTAAATATTTTCTATAATTGCAAGGAACTTCGACAGCCTTTTTATCGTGGAAAATATTGTATAAACCGCATTTTTTTGCGTTCGAAACGACTACGGTTCGAATATTCTATGTGATGGATTGACGATAGATTTTCAATCGTATATTAAAACATTTATGGATTCACTGAATATTAGCGCTATTAGTTATCTATGTTTGTTGCATTATTTATTAACTCAACAAATAATAAAAGGAAAATATGTCATATATTTACTCGATCAATATCCGTACAAATGATTTGAGTTCTTCCGAATCCTTTTTTTTTTCTTATTAGTCTCTTTTAATGTCTCATCTTTTTTGTGAAAGAAAATTTTTCAATAATTCAATTTTGATATTAGTCAACACAGAATTTTTCTTTTAAAATTTTAATAATAATAACAAACTTGAAGGACGAAACTATTCTTTTTTCTCACAAAAAATAATAATCTCAAATAATCTTATTATTTCAACAATCGTCTTAATATAAATGCAAAAGAAAAAAAAAATTTCTCAACTACATCGTGAATGACTGCTAGAAGTAGACAGTAACATACTCAATATTATAATGAATATAGAAATACGCAACTATAGATCAAAGAAAATATTTACTTCCGATACAAATCATCTTTCTAGTATGAATTACAAATTAATAGGCTATATAACTAGTGAGATTAATTTTTTTATCACTATTCAAAGTCCTAGAATATGTATAAATTCCACTTAGTTTCACAGATTCAATCAGAAAAAAGAATTGTAGAATATTTAGGGGAAAAAATCTATGCATAAGACGAATATTTTAATATAGAAAATAAAATAAAAATGAATGATATTCATAATAGCTCGTCGAACAATTTTCTATATTTGTATTGAAATATAGAGAAAGATGATAAAATTTCATGTACATATGATGTTTAAGATATTGACATACTTGAAGTTGGTCAGATGATACTACTTGATGTATTCAAACAAAAATTTCAATAAGGTCGAATAGCTAATTTTCTCTTTTATCTGTGCCGATAGAAATTTTTATGCCAGCCCTCACTTATTCATTCATATTGAACGACCTTATTCTTCACTTATTCATTCGTATTGAACGATTTTATTCTTTTGTTGTAACATTATGATCGATAGATTTTTTTATTAACGGTCTTCCAAAATTGAATTTCATAATTGAACAAAAGAATCAATTTATTTTCTATTATAAAATTATTCGTTCAATCAATATTGATTTCTTTACGATTGTACAATATTAATCTTCAATAATGTCAATAGCTACTATAATAACGTATGAATACAATTATTTCTAAATGTTCCCAACATTTACGGATTTGTAACAAAAAAAATTCTTTTTTAAAATTTTTCGTCTGTAATTAATAGAAGGTAAAAAAGCATTCAATCTGATATAAATGAACAAACGAACTTTTGATTAGTTTGTTCGATTATTCTCGACTATTTTCTTTTTCATTTGATCTACAGACGGAAGGAGAGTTTTGTTGCGTAGCGTAAAATGATACTATGTATATTGATAATTTACTTTGTTAATACAACGAGAGGAATCGACGTTTTTTTTTTTTATTGTGTACAAGGTAATTTAAAGAAGAGGTATTCGGGAACAAAAAATTTGCAAATATTTTAACGATATGAGAGATTGAGAGCTGAAGGACAGATTTTTTCTTTCTTTTCTTTAGAATTCTTTCTCTTTTTTGTTCGTCATTGCCGTCTCAGGAGTGGCGCTTTGCTCGATGAACAACATACTCAACTGGTGTAGTTTATAGGGTGCAAAAACAAGAAAATATATATATATATATTGAGACACAGCTCACATCTCCTCGTTCCTTGTTCATGACTTTTTTTTTTATTCTCCTCTATCGCTCAGACCAAGAAATTTGATGCGTCTCTTCCATTCTGTCCTATACTTGCACATGGCACTACTGGACTAAGACACAACCCACAGCGTCTCCATCTGTTTCTGCTATTGAATTTTACGTTGAATCGAGTGTCGCCAAATGTGCCAAGTAAATTGTAACGATGGACAATGCGACTCATTCAAAATGGTCACCAAAAATATTCATGACATACTCAATTTTTATTTATATTGGCCTTCTTAGTTTATTTCTCATCATGACTCTACTTGAATTCATTCAACACATTCTTCAACTAATCTATCTAACCATCGTAAGTCACTTTTAGATTTTCTTTTTTTTTATAGGGAAAAAAGAGCGATAGACATTGAATAAAGCGAGTAAATGACATGCTTTACCATTGAACGAAAGAAGTTTTTTCTTTCTTTTTTTTTTTTTTGAAGGATTATATTATAGAATCATTCTTCTCTTGTATTTTATAAATGTATATGAAGACTAATCGATCCATCGATATGGAACATGTGTTTAAGCAATATTTTATTAGTGACGCGAAATGAAATTATGAGTTTCATTTCTACATAGCGAATGCTAGTGTATAGATGTTGAACAATAAGAAGAAAAATGCATAGAACAAATTCTTTCAATTGAGACTATACACGCGATTGACAATCAGTTCGATGATCTTTGAAATGTTTGATGAACAGGAGTCATTACATCATATACATATCGAGAGAGAGAGAGAGGACAACTGAAAAAAAATGGAATTAATAGTGATGGTTCCTTCCCATTAACGCTAATAAAACAAAAGTGATCGAATCGAAAATGAGTGCACGCAATAATATGAACATTCAAGCAGACACATAGGTATATAAGTACGTTTGAATCCCATTTAAACATTCGAGGTGTTTTGTCATCTAGCAATTGAAAAAAATGCAATGAACATGAATATGAACAAAAGAAAAACGAGTCATTATGTGAACTAGTCATGGAATTTGATACATACGATTTTTTCTTCTTCTTCTTTCCGTACAGTTTATGTCTCTTGTTTCGCTTTCGTTTTTCTCTGTTTTAAAATGTCAGATGAGCGCGTAGATCGTTCATGAGAAACATATAAAGATTGTTGATTAGTAAGTATGACATAGTTGCCGGTAAGTAAAGCAAAGACAAGTTTAATAAAAACAGAAAGATTAATGTGCTTTAAAAACTTGAAAATTTAACTGCCAATTTGATCTCTCATGTTGTTTTTTTATTCAATGTTTGACATTGATGTGTATGTATGCCTTTCTTCTGCATTTTTCTTACATGTTCGCATACGTTCTTGTTGTTTTTTGTTGAGGCAAAGCACAAGAGCAATAGTGGTAGTAGTTGTAGTAGAAAAGAAGAAGAGGAGAAAAAGGAAAAAAAGAGGCTTTTTTTTATTTATTCAACCAACTGTTGGCGAACACATACTTCTTCAATCTTGCTAGCGGCTAACTTCTTTTATTGTCTTGAGCATCCTGAGGAAAGAAAAAAATCTGTGCCATAAAAAAAGGGTACTCACATAATAGTTCTGCTTTTTCACTAATACCTCTCTAGCCTATTCTATTTATTTATTGATTTCCTAGTAAATTCTCTTTTCATTTTTAGATTAGCTGGTTTTACAGTATGAGTTCAATATTTCGTCGTTGGAAGAATCGACTACGATGTTCAAGTAAAAGATACGTACAGCGAAGTCGCTCATCGATACTCACTGAGAATGAAGTGAAGAAAAAATTCTTTTACCTTTTTTTAGCACACTATTTTTTTTATATAATTATTTTTCTAGTTTAAAACAGTTAATGTAGCAATGGATAAATTATCAAATGAAAATCGGATATTAAAAGAAAGATTTGATAAACTTGAAGAACGAGTAATTGATTATTTGCCGTGCTTTTAGTTTCTAATTGAATATATACTTTTTTTCTTTTTAGTGCCAACGATGGATTACAGATGAACAAGTTTATCTATTAAGACGTATTGAACAGTTAGAAGATGAAAATCATCGATTGCATGAAAATTATCAAGCCTATCAAAAGCAAAGTGAAAAATGTATTGGATCTGTTACTGATCTAATTATAAAAGCACTGTTCACTCAAGAGGTAAGATATTAATAGCTGTAGAGAAACATTTTTTCTTCTTTCTCTCGAGAAATTAGATTTGCGTCAGAAAAATTCTATGTGTAAGAATTCATATTTTGTGATGATTACAATCCAAAATAAGGACTAGTAGAAAATCATGCATAAATAAAAACAAAAAGGGACATGATATCAATAGACACATGTCTATTAGAATTAAATTAATAAATTATTTCAATCTCATGTTGAAGTAACAAATTTCTTATAAATATTTTACTAGATGAGTACGAGACGAGATTTCAAGGTGTAATCTATGCTAAACCTGGTGAAGGCTTGTAGCTTCGATTGAGACACCTTGTTTTCTTTTTGCATTTCTATGTTTTTTAATTATTTATATTGCATTGAAATCTATTCGTCAGGCTTATAGATTTGCTAGAAAAAAAAATATGTATTTCTATTTGTTTCACGTGATTAAATCTTTTGAATCATCAGATAAATATTTAACCTTGACTGACTTAGTGAAAGCAACGGGCAGTCGAGACAATTTTTCAACATGTTTATTTAGATCTTAGACGATTTTTAATTTTCATAACCTTAATTTATCGTCATTGCTTGACATTGACTGATGCTTTTGGACATCTGTATGTGCAGTTAAGTGTTCTCTTCTTCGTTCCTCTAAACTAAACGGCAAAAGACAAGTGTGTGACGTGTCTTATCACAAATTTCTTTTTTCTCTTTTAATTGACGTGTGCCTGTTACTGCAGCAATAGTTTGAACCATTATACATATGAGTGAGCCTATGTCTATCTTTCTCTCTCTCTCTCTCTCTCTCTCTCTCAAATATCTCCAACTGCTATCATTCAGTATTCGTTTTTTGCTTATTTATTCTATATCTTATTGCTTGATTGTATCATCGTTTCTTTTCAAATGTTCTTGCAGCAGCCAAACATATGCATGAAATGATATGCTCTCGTTCGCAATTCATTCGTTTTTATTTCGTTATATTATCTTTTACTTAGAAAAAATTGAATTCGATTTAAGGTTTTTGAACTACATGAGATAAGTATTTTTGAGCCTAGTGAACTTTCGAATGAGCAGATAAGGCTGCGGAGCAGGAAAAAACCTAAAAATGATTTTTTTTCTATGTCTTCTTTTTTAATGAAGATTTAGTGCTTCAATAATATGCATTATCTATAGAGAAATAAATAAAGGCTATAGTACAGTTTGTTCCATATATGAAAGAAAAGAAGACTGTCCATTGTCATATAGATAGAATATGAGAGCGTAGTTTAAAAACAAATGACGAAACGTAAAACTTGGTGGTTTCCAGATTTGTTTGGTCAATGTATTTTGTCACGTAATCATCGTCTATCGAGTCAGGTGGGCAAATTCAATAGGCGAATTTATTTTTTAGATTAATTGCGAAGACTTGTTTTATCTATTTAATGTTTTTGTTTAAAGGAATTAAGAAAACAATGTGTAAATCTTCATAATGTGATCGATACAGTTAAACTGAGAAGAAATGTTCAACAAGTAAGAAGAAGAAAAAACTTATCTTACGCGAACCATATGTCAGTGTCTTTTCTATTTGTACAGAAAGAATCAATAATTCAAAGTAAACGTAGTATTTCATGTCAATTTACATCGAATCCATCGGTATTGATACATAAAATCATTAAAAACTAAAACTGAAAAATTCATTTTCAGAATCATGATCATCGACATACTACAAATGATCAATCGACATGGTTTCATCAACAATTAATGATTGTCGAAGAGAATGATCATAAGCCAACGAATCAACCATCACGTATGTATACAAATAATAGTAGTAGCAGCAGAAGTATGATGTAATTTATTTCTCGTATCTTCAACAGAATTAACTATTCTATAGAACAAGACAAAAAAAAAAGAATGAGAGAGAAAGGATGAATGTGTTGAACGACAAGAAAAAAAGAAGGAAAAAAGACTAAGTGAGAATAGCAAGCCTCGATGACTTTCCATAAAGACGAGAATGGAAGATGTTAGATTATACCATCGGGCAAAAAAGGAAGAAGACGGACACAAAAAAATAGCCGGGAAGAAAAAAGTCGTCGCATGTTATTTGAGAGAACACATGTAGAGAAACTACCAGAGCACAGTTCGACAAGGTAAGAAAATATTACTGTTCTAGATTGTTACAATTCTCATGTAAAAAAAAAGAAGATTTTTTGCTCGATTAATATACTACATACTAAATATTATTATGAATAAAAATATTCTCTTGTGCATTAAAATAAAATTTCCTGTTCAACATAAATTATCAACTAAATACAAACGGATATGATTGTATTTGATTTTCGGAAAAAAAATTCATTTTACGGTTCAATCAGAAAGTAATTACCTTGACGTGGTCAATCTAATTTTCTTTTCTTTTCTATTTTTTGTTGCCATAATAGAGAGATACACATTGCATTAGATTGGCTGAGAATATTTTTCATTAATAGATCCTCTTGAGAAAGGCAAAAAAAATGAAAATTGAAATGTAATACATATTACACATTGAATGAATCTCTGTTCCTTTTGTAAATTCAATATAAAAATAAGTCATTTCTATAATAAGAATTCAACAATAGGATTGTTCATCGAAATTCCTATTGGCTACTGTTTGCTACTACCTTTGCTCTCTTTTACAAGTCATCAGAGTCAACTTTCTTTAGCTCGTTGAAATAATAATAATAATGGTAATAATATTGAATGAAATTCGATATAAGCAATAAGAGAAAAAGAAGTTGATACCATACAAATGTATCCATCGTTGTGATTGTTGCATATTGTATGTATGTCATGACACGGCATAACGACAATGCGTACATATATATATATATATATGTGTGTGTCTCAGAATTGGGCGGTACTTATTCGTATATCAAACATTCGTAAGACCGAACAATTCATTCATGCTTATGCATCAATAACATATTGATAGAGTACAGAAACAAAAGTCGAACGTCGACATATATATATATATAGATGCTCGTCTACATATACAGATTTTAGCTTTTATTCATTCTAATTTAATAACCCCCGCCTGTATTCTCTTAACATTATTGTCATAACGGTTAGAAAAAGTAAAGCTTTTTCTTTGTCATTTTCGTTATTCGTTTCTCCCATCGCCCTGATAGACATTTATCCACATACGTCGTTTGTCTTTTGTGTTCACTGGTTCTTGTCTTCTCTTCCTATTTATCATCATCTATTTGACGCTCAACAACCAAAAACAAAACATTTATTCGGGACGTTGTCCGAAATGGGATAAATCAAGATTAAGAGCGAACGTATTATCTTCCTAATCACTCGTTCACAATCGAATTCTTTTCTTTGACCTAAGAAAAAGAAGAAGAAGAAGAATTCATTCGGTGTTTCAATCAAACAAATACATAAGAAACTAGAAACATGGTTTTACTAGATAATAATTTAAGCGAACCCGATTCGCCGATTCAATATTATTATGGTGATTGTGATAGTTTATTAGCTAATTGTTGTACTAAAACAAATTTATCGTCACCTTTAAAATTTCGTACCATGAATAGACAACGAAGACAAAAAGCATTTGAAGCACTTCGACAAATGAAATTACAGCAATCAACAGATACTTTTTCTACGCGATCAAGAGGACGTAGAAATAGAAAACGTTTTTATAGAGCACTTTGTTGTACTGGTAAGAAGATAAGTCCTAAAGTTAAGCTTAACGCAAATAGATGCACTGCTGCATACTACTATAGATAAATCTATAATATAATTATTATCATCTTCTTCCTTTTTTTATTTATTTTCATTTCATAGACTTACACATTAGTGAAAGTCAATCAAGTGTTTATTCTACAACTATGGCTACTGCAAAATCTCGATCTTATATTCCAACCACATCAGGTCTTACCAATGAACTCTATTTCGCATCACATAAACCGGATGGTGATAATGAAAAAACGCCGCCAGCACTATTGCGTAATAAACCGCATTCATCGCATCTTCAAATTATTCCTATTGATAATATACAAACAAAATTGAATAATCGTCGTCCAATATCATCACCTGTACGTTCGACAACATACGTTCTTCAGCAACATCATCGAACAAATAATAGTGTGACGAACAATAAGAAAATTTCTTCACCTGTACATCAACATCGCCCACCCTCTTTAACAACACCAATGACATTAAATAAAACTCGAGAAACAACACAACAACAACGCACCAATTCAAACCATGAAAGGTTACCAATACAACCAGCATCGGTAGTTGATTCAACGACGGCAAATCAACAATTTACTTCTCGTGCACATACTACTGTGTTAACACCGCGTCGTACTTCACCTATCGTTAAGAATACACCAACAAAGACAACAACTGCATATATTTCAAGGTCCCCTCGCGTAAGCACATGAGAGACATCTAATAGAAATTAAAAACCAGCAGCAGTCGATTCATGAATATTAATTTTATTATCATGTTCGTTTTTCTTCTTCTCGTTTTATTTCTCTCTGTATGATTTAGATTCCACATACTTCACTTGTTCGACCTTCACGGCCACCACACACAGTAGTAACAACACCCATTCAACAGCGTTCACCTCGTGTTCAAATTCGTTCTTCAAATTTAACACCGGCATCACAACGAACAATATCATCATCTCCAACAACAAATAAATCCAATCGACCACAATATGCAGTGTCAAAATCACCTGAAAAATTGCGATCTGTTACTGGTATAGTTACACGTCTACGGCCAGCACATACGATTGTTAATAAATCTAAACCAGACAATTCAAATACTCCAACTAATCATTTAAAATCACGAACACCTAATACTGTCCGAACTGTATCATCATCAGTAGCAACTCCACGTGTTTCTGATCTTGACGCATTAATGGCAGAAAAATATATTAATAATAATAAAACACCGCCTAGCGTTCAATTAAAATCGACAATTCTTTTCCCAACACCAATAGTCAATAATATTCGACGTTCATTATTTTCAACAGATTCCGTTAAAGTAGTTCGACCCGTTCGTAGTCAAGAATTAAAACTTTTTTCTTGTCACTTAACTCCTGACACATCAACACATGCAGCAGCATCTGATGAAATATCATATGAATCAAATATAGATGAAAAAGTTTCAATTTTAACTTCAACACCACCATTAGAACAAATAGCAGATCATAAAACTTTTGATAATCAAAGCATTGCAAAAATCGATGAGCCATCGTCTATTGCTACTGCTTTCACTATTACACATGATCTTTCTGAAGATAGTCTTAATGAACATTATCATATTAAAAAGTTATTAAATGGCAGTAAGTTTCTGTTTCTTTCTTTCAAATATCAATGTAAATGTATTTCAAGGTCGTATGAAGATTTATTCTTCTGAATAAGAATTTTCTTTTTTTCTTCTTCGAGGATTCACTTTAAATGTCAAAAGGGTATATTTCATGCCTAAGCTCATATATTCTATGAAAAAGGCCACATAATGTTATTTAAAAAAAGACAAAATTAATCATCTAACGGCTATGAAAACAGAGAAATCTTTACAACCCTGATACGTGTAAAAATATGATAATTATGAGAATATAGGTCTTCTGTTTAGTCAACACTCCTTCATAAATATGTTAATTTAGCAGATAGACAGGTGTCTGCGTGCGCTTTCAAGAACGTTACACATCAATTAAAGTTGTTCGTCGGATCAAATCGAGTATATAGAAACTATCTTACTGAGAACAAGACCTTGTATAGGAGTTTCCTAAATTGATTCGATGTAAATGTTGATTCAAAGATGGGCGCATATCGATAAAACTCTCCAGTCTTTGAAAAGATCAAATTTTGGTATTTTGTTTTGCGACAGAGATTTTATTTACTATTTAAATAGTTATATTCAATTCAATAGAGCCATCTGATATGAAAATAGATAGATTATATTTCACCTTACAAAATCTTAACTTTCTGGCAACGAAAAATGTATAGTTAGCAAATATATTCAAATCAAACAATGTCATTGTCGTATTTCTCCTATGAGCAAGGGAAACCTCTGAGAGTCTATTATGTCATTTATGTGAAATAATAACCAGAAAAAAAGTCTCTCGTATTATTCTTTAGATTCATTAGGCGCAACAGTCAACAATGATAGTGTACACAATAGTTCATCGAACGAAGAAATTCTTGCATCATCGTCAGTTACATCGTGGTCACGTATACGTTCGTCATGCGAAAGTAATGTGTCCCATATAGCACCATTAAAAAGTGAAACATCAACGAGTCCAGCTTTGTACAATGGTCCCATCCGACAAGAAGACATTCATATGGTTGATGACGGTCGATATTTTCTATTGATTGACGATAATTTAAGTAGTGAAGGCAGTGAATTAAATAAAACCGGATCATCATCATTATCTCGATCGTTGTCACCATTGATGAACACCACAATGCCGTTAAAACAAGAAAAATCAGCTATACATCGTTTAGTATTTCCACCACGTCTTGGTCGAATATTATTTTATCGCCGTGTATTATCAGATTCGGATATTTATCAAAAATTATGCTCAAAAGATAATGAAATTAATCATAATGTATATCATTTAGATACAATACGAGATTATTCCATGGAGTTTTATATGTTAACAACATACGGTTCCGATTCACAATTGCGTGCTTGGCTTGATACGAATTACGATGATATTGGAAATAATGCTTGTTATTTTGATAATAATCGATTTGCATCACTTGATGATGATGATGATGATGATGATGATGAATCAGATGATAGAAGTAAAATGAAAATAGCTAGTAGTAGTGAGAGTATTATGCGCGATGATGATTTAAATCGTTTACAAGCTGATGAAGAACTTGATTGGTATTCTGAACTTGAATCATTTAATTTATCACCAACCAATCCGCAGGTAGAGTCAGAAATAGAATTTTATTTACAAAAAAAAGCAAAGCCCAATTATGTTCTTTTAGTGGAAACATGAAAATGCATCAAGTTGTTCAAGCGAGGATCATGTTGGAGAGTTATTACGTGCTGAACAGGTTACTCTTTTGAGGATGAAGGAAAATATTTTTATTTCTATTTCTATTTTTATTCTAGTTTTCTGTATCGAGTTTAACCACAACGACATCAGCCGAATCGTCAAGTTCAGCTGGTTTAATATCATCTTCATGGCCATTAACAAATGGTATTCATCATTGTGTTCATTCGCATCTTTCATCTCAATCTCTTAATTCTGCTCCATTACCAAATCTAGATGATCAAAGTCATACAATTTTAAAAGAAATTTTAACATATCCATGGACACATGAAATTTCAAGTTCGAATGCAAATCATCAAGAAACAGGAAACGATCAAACTGATAATAGTACGTTGCCATCGATTATTCATGATCAATTTCAGCCTGATTTCTATTACTTGTGTCCTCTCAAAAATACTACAAGTTTTCTTAAAACCGATGAAAAATCTAATGGCATTCCTAGACAATTATCCCATGATGTGTAACGTGCTCTGTTTTTCTTTCTCTCCTCCTTTTTTGCTCTCTCTCTCTCTCTCTTTCATTCGCTTGAATTCTTGTTTTTATTCAAATTGCTGCTCAAGGCCAGATACTGTTATTTATATTTTTGTTGTTGTTGTTTTTTTTCCATTTTGTTATCACATTAGATATATTTAATGAGAAAAGAAAAAGAAAAGAAGCAAAATGATATAGTGTGATTATGCATTCATACCAAGTAACTGATCAACTAAATCTAAAATAAGAATAGAAAATACTATTATCAATACGAAGAACAAAAAGAAAACAAATAATAATGAAAATCTTACAGTCAATATTTATTTTTGTTTGTTCATCATTTAAACCTAATTGAATAAGATCATCCAATTCATCATCTGATAATGGTTCACCAATTGTAGCCATCAGTGTTCGAAACTTTTCAATTTCAATGTAGCCCTCGTGTGTAGTATCAAACTTTTCTAATGCTTCACGAAGACCATCACGATCGTTATTAACTACTGTCCATGGTTCGTCGATTAGTTGTAAAACATCATCCAGTGTTAGTTCAAATTTTCCTTCAAAAATAACAACAGAAACAATATGGAAATAGTGAAAGAAAGAAAAACTCGTTTTATTTATGATGAGGGAACATTAATTAAATAAATTAAAGCTTTTTTCTTGAAGAGCACTCAAAATATTGTGATATTTAGGAAAATTCAAGTACTAAAAAAGAAAATTCTATGGCTCAACGAATTTTATGGATCGTATAGAATTATTGATAAGAAACCTTTTTTTAAATATTAATCTTTCCAGAATATTAGAAGAACTCTGTTTGTTAATTTGAAAAGAGCTTTTTTTTTTCAACAAATATTACCCTACAATAGGAAGCTGAGAAATGCCTCAAACGTTCATCACTATTTATAACTGCATCGCCTCATAAGTAGATTTTTAATATAGCAATTTTTGAGCAAAAAACTATAAATGAAGAGAAAGCGCATTAAAAGACCCGCATTGAGAAGATTTTTGTTTAACATAGGACTTTTTTTCTACTAAAACTGTTCATAGATAAGAATGTTTCCTACCAGCAGCTTCAAGTTCATTCATTCTCTGTTCCGAATCTCTTAATGAAGGATTTCGACCAAAAGCTTGTAAAACTTCAGTTAAACGATTAACATTAATATAATCATTGGCAGAATCATCCTTAAATCTTGAAAATAGATCATTTAGTTCTGCTAAAAAGACAACAGCATAGTGAAACCCATCGATAATCATTTATTTTTTAATAACTTACACAGTTGTTGTTGCTCATCTTGTTCATCGTAAGCATTATCATCTATTTGAGAATTTTGTTCGGCTTCCTAAAATAATATTTCTTTTTATCTATTTCTTTTCGCCTTGCTAACTTACCATTTGTTTCTATACTATATTAAAACAACTTCAAATATAAATATAAACACACACTAGTTGTTGCTAACAAATGCGAAGCAATTTAGAATTTTTTTTTTGTTTTATTTCTCACCTCGCTGTTGTGAGACACTACATCGTTCGAGTTTTATTTTTCTTTTCCTTGTCAACCATAGGAACAAAAAAAACATAAAGAACATTCTTTTTCTCTTCGCTCTCTCTCTCTCTCATAGTTCAAGTTTTTCATCAAGTGTTCTTTTTGGTATTGGAGTATTACAATTTCCATGGTATAAATATATATTTTGTTCATTATTACAATTAAAATAATTCTCCCAAACATCATCATAACCTTTTCCTTTCCACCATGTGCACAATTGTCGATTCCAATAACATGGCAAAATAAAAAATAATTCATTGTGTTCAAAACTTAATAATGTATAAAAATCTTGATCACCTAAATGTGGATGATCGAAATGATATTTATGAATCAGTTGCTCAATCAAGGAAGGATTTTCTAAATAGCTATTGAATAAAGTTGATTGGCGAATTCGATTTAAATTCAATAATAGAACACCACTATTAAAACCTGTAATACCATTTGGTGGAGGATCGCCAATGTTCGTGTCGAGATGCTCTCGACGATATGACCAAAGTAGATGTCGATAAACAGGTTGATTTTCACGAGCGATTCCTATTGAATGAAAATTTGTTTTTATAAATAAAAGTTGAATTCTATTATTACCTAATATATGACTTTGATTAAATTGATTGAATAATTCATATAACTGTTTTACGTCATGGTCAAATCGAAGGTCGATATCAAGCATAATCACGTGGGAAATATTTTCCGGTAAAATTCGATGTAGAAATGGCGAAAGAAAAAATAATGGATCTTTATAATAGGTATGGCCAGATGAAAAATGTTTAATCAATGGTGAAATTAATTTTTCATATTCAACTGTTAAATCATCGATATGAAGTTTATTTATCTTTGAAAGAAAACAAAAATCAAAATGAGGTCTCGTGTTTTTCAAATTATTTGAATCTCATTACTTCATTAGTATAATGAAGATCTTGAAGAGTTCGATCGACGAACTGCTGACTATCGGAGTCGCCAATCACATGTAACTGAAGATTCTCTATAGATGTATATTGAAATAATGAAGATATCAATGTAAAAAAATTTGATTGTAAACGTTCATTTTCCCCGAGATTTTTTACAGTAAAGACAATATTAATAATTGATGATGATTGAATACAAGTGACGAAAAAGAAAAATAATATCTGTTGAATAACCATGGATAGATCTAAAAGAGAAAAACAAAACAAATTATGTTCTCGATTCATCTCATGAATGTCCTTGCTGTTCTTTTTCTGCTTCGAAATAGTGTCCTTTCTGATGAAAAGACTATTGTTAAGCTATGTGAAGAAAACGAATTACTTTTGTTCTCCACCATTAATGATTATAATGAAATACACATAATGTTGTCAATATTGATTGTTGCTCTTTGTACAAGTTAATGATGAAAATGTAACTCATTTGCATCGATTGAGAAACAATGAGAATATACATTTATTAATTGGTGTTAATAGGAAAAAAATTCTTTTATTTATGATTGAGCCAGAATCTAACGATGCGAGAATTGTGATTAGAAGAAAAAAGAATCTTTCTTGGAACTTGATGCTAAATATTGTAGAATAGAAACGATTTCATTTGCCAAAAACTTTATTCAAATTGTATCGTTTTTATTATTCTTTCTCTAGTTCAGTAGCAAAAATTCAGGTAAACTTAACTGAAAAGTATATCTGAATAGGTTTAATACTTCATTTAAACATCAGGAAGTATAAGAGTACTTGTTACACATACGATAGAATCATACGGGTATTTATACTATCGACATAAACGTCGTTTCCGGAGTACGGAAAGCACCGCACGGGTAGGCAATATGAACGGAGCGTGTTCAGTCGTAACAAATTTCTACAGAAAAATCGCTGAATGAAATTCACGCTGAAAGTTAATAAAATAAAATCATAACATAAACTTCATACACATCTTTAATCGATGGAAAAGCAGATTGGATTTTATTTTGAAAACAAGTATTCATCGGAGCTCTGATGAATAAGCATATCCGATCAAGAAAGAAACTGCTATGGGCCAATTTCTATTGTTAATAGGACAATTTCAACCTGGTACATTCGAATACATTCTTTTTTTTTGCATAATAAACACAAAATCAAATATGAAAAATATTTATCTTAATAACACATAGACATTATACAGTAAAAGAAAGAATAAGATAATCAACAGGTTCATCACTGGGATCTGTAATATCGATTTCAAATTGACATTTTTCCATATAAAACTTAATGGCTTTCTTATTAACCTTATGAACGGTTAATACAATTTTTGACATTCTTGCTTTTCGACAGAGTATTTTCATTTGTTCAATCATTAATTGACCAAGACCTTGTCCTTGAACATTTCTATTTACTTGTAATTCATATACATATAAAACGTGACTCTGATAATCCATATCAAAACGGAAATGCGTAAAAGCCAATAGACCTTTTGTTGATGACGATAGTATAAGTAAAAATCTTGATTGATCAGAAAATAATTCTTCTTGTTTTCCAACAAAATCATAGCCAACACTTGATTGTTCGTATAAAGTTTTCATGTTAACTTCAAATAATTCAATAATTTGTTTTCGATATTCATTCGATAATTCAACAGGATGATAAATTTTAATTTGGTAATCATTTTGTTGAGTTGCATTCGACTGAACAATGAAATCATAAAGATCAGATGAAGAAAACGTTTTTGCTTGTTCAACTAATTTACGATTTTTTCTCATGTTTTTCTTCTTGAATGAAAATACTAAACAAAACATCAATGTAAATATTAGCGAAAACAATCCATTGATTTTCTTTTCTTCTGCTATTTATTCAACGTTGAAAACAAAACAAAGAAAACACTAACAAGTTTTTGTTTGAATGCTTAATCGCAAACAGTTACTTTTCCGTTGATTCACTTTTATCATTCATTTGTTCACGAGTAACAGTTACATTTTGTGCCATTTCACCCTTATTGTTTCTCGTTATATTGAATTCGACGGTTTGACCTTCTTCTAAAGATTGGGCACCGTTGCTTAAATTTCGGAAATGTACAAATAAATCCGATCCACCAGCCTCACGTTGTATAAATCCAAAGCCTCGTCCTTCTAACCATCTGAAAATATTTATTGAAATGAAAATTATGCATATGCATATATTTAATGCAAATCATTACTTTCTAACGGTTCCTGTGTGACGTTCGCCAAGATTTTCAGTTGAGATGTTTGCTTTTTCTTGATTTGCACTATGATCACCGTCTAGGATAGCAACATCACGTGCTTCTTCGCCTTTTTCCGTTTGATGAACACTATATTCGACTGATTGTCCCTAAATTCGAATATTATTCATGTTTTGAATATAAAAAATAGACAAAAATTTACAGGTTCAAGTGACTGCACGCCATCTTTGAGACTTCGAACATGACAGAATAGATCTTGACCGCTACTTGCTCGACGAATAAAACCGAAACCTCGTTCAGCAGTCCATCGTTTTACTGAACCGAATTCACGTGTTTGTTCATTAGTTGTTTGTGGGTTTTTTGAAGAAAATAAATCATTTCCAGAGGAGTTGCTTAAACTTTCATTGAATTTATAAGTTTTTCGTGTTGATGTCGAGTCTGGTTCATCAAAATTTAATTTAGATGATTCATTGCCACCAAAATTAAATGAATTTGATCGTGATGTCCGATTTCTTAATGTTGAACCAAAATTCGATCTTCGTGATGTTGAATTATCATCGGATGGACGATCAAACATTGATTTGAAACTGCGTGAATTATCACCATCACCAAGTACACTAACATCCTACAAACAAGAATTCTCATAAAGAAAAAAAAGTCGAGCAATGCTAACGAAAACGAGGTGCAAATAATTTTTAATTGATCATGATGTTTACAATGAACCTTCGATCAAAATCTACTCTTGGAACCCATAAAAGAATTTTCTTTTCAACTTCCAAAATGTTAGAACAATGGATACTTGAGGAAATGAGATGTTTATAAAACATTCTTTTGAAAGAATTATATTCATCTTAAGAAAAATACGGAAGTTTTCCTTTCTCATAGGAAATGATAAAACAAGTTATGATTGTACTCTCCTTGAAATTAATGAAGTTTATTCAAAAACTAAAGCCGCATAGAAATGTTAGTTACTAGATAATACCCTTCTGCTTCATTTCCGGGTACCAGTAGTCAAAAAATAGTTACTCAGTGAATGTTGATGCCATCGGTAGTGTAGATCCTCATTTAAAACTATCCTCAGTTTAGATCAAATACCAATAAATTCGAGAGAATAGCTGTAACTTACTCTTGCTTCTAGTCCTTTTGCACCTTGTGTTACAGTGAATTCAACTTCTTGTCCTTCTTCGAGTACTTTAAAACCACTTGCATTTATATTTTTAAAACTAGAATAAATTTTCAATAAATATGAATACAATCTCTAAAACAATTAGAATCATACTGAACAAAATAATCGGTTCCATCGCTAGTTTTTGATATAAAACCAAAACCTTTTTCTTTTGAAAATCGTTTAACGACGCCTTTTTCGCGATTGTTCGAATTAGTTTCAGTTGATGCTGCTTCAGCTGTGCCTAATAAACGTACTAAATGTTGTTGATAATTACGCATTGGTCGGACCGTTGGTAAAAGTCGAGCAAATATATTTGATAGCATTTCGTCAAATCAAATCAAAAAAATCAAATCATACAATAAATATAAAACAGTTTCTAGTACTATTATAAGGAAAAAGTAATATTATTTAGACTTTTACAAACAGTACAGCCGAAATAATCATCGCGAATTTTATATTTGAATTACTGCCTATACACTTTAACGATACTTGTAGATATTCGTGAGAAGTGAACTAAAATTGTATTGTGTGAGGCTAAATACAATCTATAGTCCATACTATACCAACATGTGTGTATTATTATAGTATGATTGGAAAGGTACGGATAGTTGTCACTACATATCAATCATGAATAATATCAAAACTGTCAATTGACATTTTTGTTTTGCAGCTCACAAAGTTTCGAGAAACCACAAGTTTTTTTTTACAGCCCTAGAATAAATCGAAAATGTAAAATTGACATTGACAATCTTACATTGTAAATTTAGCATAATCACTGACACCTATCATCAATTCGTTTTGTCAAATCTTACTGTAAGTTTATAGAAAATTCTATGCGATGGTAACATCCTACAAAAATCATACAGTACGAATTCATGTAAGATCTCTGAGACGGCGTTTTCTTTTTTTTTTGTATGATCATATGTGGTGTTCAGTGTTTCCAATAGCAGATGTACACAGCAGAAGCAAAATGTACAGAACATCTGCTAGTTCGTATGTACACTCTGATTTACGCTTTGCTCAGAAAAGCAAAGTGTACAGTGGACATCTTGCTAAAAGAATTTACACTTTGATTCTAACGGGTGTCCCATAAAGAATGACCTTCGCAATGTTTCCTCGATAACATTTTCATTTTTGATTTTCTAGGTTTCAATTTGTTTCCAAAAGATCTACTATTTAATTCTAGATAAGATGTATATGAAACGCTTTTCTGAAGGAAGTTGAGGAAAAAAGAAAACAATAATACTGAACACGTACACAAGAATCAACTTTCAAATCTGAAAACCGTTTTTTTCGATTTTTCTATTAAGCTATTAATGATAGAAAAGGATAGAATAACATAAGCATTTTGTAACCCTCAAAAAGCTCTATCGAACGATTCTAATTTGAAAATGGATATGCTCATTCTTGTGACGTTCACCAATAATATCTTTTTCAGATTTGTGAGAATTTAGCTGGTTCAAAGCGCAGTTTCGGAGCTTTTGAAAAAAGAGGCGTGAATAAGCCAAAATACCGTATTTTGGGTTCAGATTTTCCTTATTTTCGACAAAAACTGACTATTATATCAGATACAGAGACGAAAGTTGATCTAAACGTACTTCTTCTCTTCCTTTGGCAAAAAATAGTGAGTTTTGGACATTTTGAATCCTACTATAGAAAGTCAGATTTCTTATTCTAGAATTTGATTCAAACCAACGTTGCGCTGCAGGAGAAAAAGAGCAAACTTGAAAGTACTCAAAAGCCTCTTGACATTGGTTTTCTTGATTCTAGTATTGTACAAAAATCTTCTCAAGTTTATTTTCAAAATAGCTTTGAAAGTTAGTTATTTTCTATTTGTTCAGTATTACTGTTTTACTTTTCTGTTCAGCTTTCTTCAGAAAAGATTTTGATACAAGTCTTGTGTAGAATTGGATGGTGGATCTTTAGGACATAAACTGAAACCGAAAAGCTGAAAAATAAAGAAGTTGGTGAGGAAATACTGAGAGAGTCATTCTTTATGGGACACACGTTAGAATCCGCAAAACTCTCTACTTCCTTTTTGCATCATGATCAAGATGAAGACGAAAATAATTCATATTTTTAGAATATACTATTAGAAAAAAAATATATATATTAACTTTTTGTTTTTGTGAAAACCTTTTTTTTGTAATTTTGCGACGGAACGTGTCAGATTATGAGATAGTACATCTATATATCATTTATTCATTTATCAAAGATTAGTTTATATTTTTTGTGAAAGAAAACAACATTAGCTATTTTGTGCTTTTTAGATTTTTAAAATTTCCTTTTGGTACACGTTGTACACTCTGGCGCTAAAAGCAAAGTGTACATGTACATTTTGTTCTAGATTTCCATTGGAAACACCACTGGTTTTCAAGATCTTACGTCTGATTTTTCGACCTGGTAACACCAATGTTTTCATTAATCTGTGATTCGAAATCATCTTTTCTACAGACATTTACATTATTCTCATTGGTTTTCACTTTTCCGCTTGAGTCTTGGTGTATACTGTCATCAGTGGCATGGTCGTCTTATTCATTCATCTTACGAAGCATTGATGTCGCCATCAACTCTTGGTTCAATTCTCATACTGAAACCGTGTTCTGGTGCTTTGAAAAAACTCATCTATCTGAGACAATACTTTTCAGTTTTGCTTCATTGTGGCTCCTCTCACAATTTCTCATGGCATTTTACACTTTAGCATTGTACGACAAAATTGTCAAGGCAAGTTTTGGAGAAAATTGAACGGCGAATCTGTCAGAAAAAATCAGTCTGATCAAGATCTATTAAGTGGACACATGTTAAAAGTGCAAACACCCTAATTTATTCTAGTCCACCCGATACTCCTGTATTTTGGAAGCTATTTCCTACTTGAAGTCTAATGCTCCCCCCCCCTTGGCTCATACGAATATGTGAAGCGAACGGGATTTCTCTGGTTGCGTGTGTGGCTCATTTATCATGACCCTTGCAGATTGTGCTTCACAGAATAGTATTATTTTATTTAAAAAAATAAAATCAACATAATCCCAAACTTAACGATAAGGTAAAAATACGGATATTTTTATTCATCAACCGGGGATGATTTATTTTTTCATATGTTCATTATTCCAATCAAGAATAGACATTAATTTATATGAAATCTTCATTGTGTCAGTTCGAAATGGACATATTATAAATTGTGCAGAAAATTGATTTAAAGAATTATAAAATTTTCGATGACGACTTAAAATTTGTTCATCTAATTGAAAACCAATTGAATAAAATCTTTCAAGATTATCATTTCTTGTTTCGAGATTATTTTGTGTTTGAACAAATAAATTACATTCATTTTGACAGTCATTCAAAAAGCGTCCCAATCGTGATTTCATGTAACCAGTCCATTGATGGAGTTCATTGAGTGTTTTAACGGATAGTTTAAATTGTAGAATTGATTTTATAGTTTTATCAGGAAAATGATTTGATAATTCAAGAATTTCTTTAAGTCGGTCTTCATATTTCAGATTTTTTTCGAGTATTTTTTGAGCATTTTGAAAACCTTGAATTATTAATTGCCGTGTTGAATTTATTGTTGAACGTGATGTATTAATATATGGTGGACTTGGACATAATATACGCATTGAACCACGACTATCTTCTGATGTTTGATAAGAATAATTTATTTTTGAACACAAATGAACTGGTTCCAATGACCAATTAAAATGTGAATAAGTCGAAAAAAACTTTTCAACTAGATTAAAAAATTCTTCGAGCAAAAAATAAGAATCATTCGATGATAAATATCTATGACAAATATAAGCACATAGAATAGCCCAAGAATAACCACCTAAATAACCATAAACTTGGCCATAGAGACCAACATTTTGAGCCCACGTACGAATAAAAGTTAGAAGGTGTTGAAAAATAGGTGGAAAACGAGTATAAACTATAAGACGTTCAATGTCATGAACCTAAAAAATCAAGAAACATTATTTTATCGAGCATGACGGACAGGGTCCGATGGACTTTTTCACTGTTTTTATTTCATTCATTAGGAGAAATGGTTTTAGCTTGTCACAACAATGGGTTAACTATTTTCCTCGGTTCTAATCTCGATTTCACTGACGATAATTTAATTCTTACCCCATGCACAGGTTGATGAAAATTTGAGAGTAGAAATGTTCCATCTTGAATTTGTTCATTCGATATGGATTTTTCTCTAATTTCTACAAATAGTTCAACTCTAGTTTGATCATGAAATAAAATTGAAATAATTGGATAAATAGCTTGAATATTTCGACAATCGATTATTTCATTATTGAAATATTTTGTAATTAAATTTATTATATGATTGTTTAATGCAAATGAATCATATCGTAGTTGAGAAACTATATCATCAAGATTTGTTTTAGTATTTGAAGAGTTCAGTTCGCATAAAATAAGTACAGTATCAAGATCTTCTCCATCTAAACCCTTGAAATTTAAATTTCGAAAAATAATTATTTTGATTTCAATAAAACTTACTAAACGAAAACTTCCGTAAGGAAAAAAACCATGTGTAAAATAATTCAATGTATTTTTGTTGAAAATTTCTCGAAAACAATTCGATAATCGGTTCAACTTTTCTTGTTTTTGTTCATATGATTTTCTAGTTTCATAAAGACCAGTTTTATTAAAAAATTCTTGTAATTCAAAACTTATATTCGAATACGAATCTAAACCTATTGGTTGAAGTACTGAATCGAATGGTATTTGGTAGGCGATATGAAACCGTGTTCTATCATCGTTAGATGTTTGTCGTAAAAGATGAATATATCGAACAGGAAATTGAATTGGTTCTGCTAAAGCTAGAAAACTCTAAGATTAAAACTTGACCTACAAGTGTAATAGACAACATATTTTCTGGGAAGCAGTATGAGTGAGGCTTTTTCAAAGCAATATGATCCTGCTCCCAAACAACGCAACTATAGGAAAGCTAGTATTCACTAGCATGATGACATTTTTTGATATCAATTATTAGAGGTTCTTTTACCACCAAATGAGCTATATGGAATTTTCCACGATTGATATCGATTCATGTTTAGGGTCCTAGTTTTCTGCATATATCATGTAATCAAGATTAAAGAACAATTTTTTCATTATATAAAATATATCGGCCACGCCTATCACAGGAGACTGAATATTTACTGTTATACTTGAACATTTCAAAGTGAATGATAGAAACACAAGTATCATTCATAACTCGGTTTTGGATTTACTTGGGTATGAAATAATGATTGTTTCCTTGTTTTTAACTTACTCAATAATGATTTCACTTGATTGTGTTTTTTCGCACTATCGAATAGCCCAATTGTCATACACGGATGATAATTATTTTCCTTGTCAAATAAATCTTGCGAAAAAATTTGTTTAATATTTTCGTGTAATTGTTTAACATATTCTGTTGAGTTTTCATCAAGTTTCATAAAAGTAATATGAGCATCTTCTAATGAATTAATTTCATTTATTTCGATATCAAACGATTTATATTGAGCAAGTAAAAGTCTTAATGGCAAAAGAATATTTTCTTCATCATCTTCTGTATCGTTGAAATCAAAAAATGGCCATAGCAAATTAATATGTGGTGGCCATTGATTAAATAATGGATCATATTTTTCACGAAATGATTGAACCGATGGCCATATATTCATTGGTGGCATGAAAGAAAGTGCTGAACGATGACTGATAGATCGTACTCGAAAATTAACAATCAATTGTAATGCATAATGATCAGACTGATTCATATGTTTATTATCAGTTGCATCAATAACGATTGTTTCAAGACCAACTATATTCAGATGTTCAATGGAATAAGAAAGGTTGGGTAGTCGATGTAGTAAATATCGATCTAGTCGAAGACTTAATGAAAAATCAGATGTTATTCGAGAACAAATATTACGTGATGGATCAAATGTATAACCAGGATTCTGAAAAGAAACATTACTGTAATTGAAGAATGTCTTTGCATTTTTAGTGTATCCTATTGCACTAATAGACGCTTTCACTATGCTCTATTATAAAAGATATCGGCCACTTTTTACATCCGATACGAAATATAGCGGATCAAAATGCAAAAAACATTGTGTTTCAAATTTCTAGTTTCCATTTATGCCGAACTAGGAGCTGCAGAAGATCATCAAAACTCTGTGGTCTATTACTAATGTATCCAACGGCGAAAATATCTGAATCGTTATGATCTGGAAACATGTGGCAAGACGAGACTATTTGTAACATATAAAATATTTACCTCATCAAGATCATAAATATCGCTCCAAAGATCATGTATTTGACGTTGATATGTTTGAAGTAAATTTTGTTCTCTGATATCATAATCTCCAAAATTAAAATCTCCCATAAGCATATAATTTTGCGTATTCAATGTTTTAAAAAAATATTCTAATGATTGACAACGTTTCTCATTTGAATTATACGTATGATTACTATGTAAATGAAAATTAACAAGATCGATTGTTACCTCGGAGTTCAATGCAAATCGTGATATAATATATTCTTTAATTGATGTTTTTCTTTGACTTTTTCTATCATCAGATATAGGAAGTGGACATATTGAAAATGCACGTGGTTGAAAATTTTTCATTAACATCAATTGCCCATAGGGTTGCTTTTGACCAGTGTCGAGAATATTTCCCATTATAATTATATAATAATTATTTTCTTTTAACCAAAGTTCATCTAGTAGAAGATTAAGAAATTTCATTGTGACTTCTTGTAAACAGATAAAGTCTGGTAAAAATGATTTCAGAGTTTTTAATATTTCTTCATATCGTTGATTTGTATAAATAAATTCAGATTGATAGTAATCAAATAGAATGTTCCATGTTAAGAATTGACATCGTTCCGGAATAAACATGTTGCTTGTAGATGAAATCGTCAAGTCATCGGATGCAAGAGATACTTGTGGACATAAAACCCATCGATGAATTGATTGATCATAACGATACATTCCTTCGACTAGATTTTCCTCTTGTTCAATATCTATTCCAAAAGCAAATGAATTAAAATATAATAAGCATAGAAATAACTAAGTACGATCGGAAATTTAGGAAGAGATTCTACTTCCGATTACTATCAAAGCGTGAGAGGTCATGGATTTCGCTTATAGCTTCGAGTTAGCAATCAAATAGACCCGATCATCAGAGATTAACAAGTACGAGTGTTCTTTCTATGACATACCAGCCGTTGTTTCGTCATGTATTTCACTTCCAGTTAAAATATCAATTTTATTAATTCTATCCCAAACAATAGATCCATTTATTTTATAATATCGAATACGATGCATCGGAATACCATACTAATAAAACAAAAGCAAATATATTCATAAGATATAGTAGACAAGAGTCCTATTACTTCACTTTCATGAACTTTTTTAAATTCATCAAATTTTATTTCATGAATACCTGTAAAACGATCTTCATAACCAATCAGAACTTGTGAACAATCAATTGTTGTATCATGTATTATACGATTAAATATAAGATCGGCACTACGAAATCTTTTTATTAATGTAGATGCATCGGGTTTTGATATTAATACTGTTGAAATCGAATTGTACTCATTATTTTTCTGTTTTTCACCTGAAATTTCTATCATATATTCTTGCATTGATCGAACAATTAAATAAATAGAAGTATTTGAATTTGATTGCTGAATAAGTTTATTAAAATAATCACGAATATCTATCCATTGCTTGTTTGTCAGAGAATTCTTATTACTTGTTTGCTTTGATATATGTAGATTATGTACATTACTAGTTATCAATGAACTGAGTGAATCATGAAAAAAACTTATATAAATATCACAATCGAGCCGTAAAGAAATTTGATTGAAATCTCCTGATGGTCGTATTTGAATATGATCATCGGAATGAAGTATTGAACGGAACGTATTGATTTCGTCTATGTATTTCTCTGCCATTAAATCTGCTGATTATATTTATGCGATAATATTTTAATACTTGATTTGGATAGGAATGAATGTGAAGGTTGTCTTTCATCGAGATGTTATAGAAGAAAGCGACAAAAAATTGGTAAATATCTGATAATGATTACACAAGAACTAGTAATGACTGTTGAGTAAATAAATCAAGGAGGAAATGGCAGACTTTTGAACTTGAAGTTACTTTGAGCTACTTTTTCCTATTTTGGGCTACTTGGGTGGTACTTTACTTTAAGCTACTTCAAGCAGTCTACTTTGAAGTACTTTGGCGTACTTTGCGACTTCAAATCCGTCGTTTCCCCCTTGAAATAAATTCAGAAATCGGAAGAATATAACCGCAACGAGTAATAGAAAGCGGATATAACTCGTATTGAATTAGTCATACTCATACTCTACTTATACAGAGATTCTGGAACGGAGCTGCACAAGTATTTTCATTCTTTTAGTTATATAAAAACTAGTTTATTGTTTTTTTCAAATTTTATCAGAACATCAAAACATAAAAATCAATTTTATTTTTAATTCATGAAATGATAGATGTCGGTAGAATACGAGTCTATGATATTTTATTCTGAATATTCTAACAAAGTTCTATTTATTCAAATGCTAATTATACTCCGGTCGAACAGTCCGGCCTGGAAACGGTCGGCTCCGGATAGTTCCGTTGATTTTGTGAAAGCAGTATTTCGGTCGGAAAATTTTCGGATTTTTTCCGGTGATTTCCGATCAATTCCTGCCGGAAAGCACCGGAACTTGGCAGGAATTCTCCGGAAAAAAATCGACCATATTTTTGACCGAAATACTACTTCCATGTTCCAGCGATTTCTCGTATTTTCCTGCAGGATATGGTGACTTTCCCGCATATTCTCTGGAGTATCCTACGGGATCCGGTGGTCGGAATGTTCGACCTGGGTACATAAATATAGTAGTCTTATCAGTGTTGAATAAAATCACTGAATAAGCTGCCCTCATATCAGTAGTTTGTTCTTATTTCATACTAATACGAGTGATAATTGTCTTTGTTTAAAACACATATATTTATTGTTTTCTTGATCGTCTGGCTTTTAGTACTATCAGATATGCGCAATGCAGTTTTTCGAGTACAATTTCTATTTTGTATCTTGACTATGAATAGAATTAATGAGATTTTTGTTCACAAACGATGAAAACTATCGAAAAAAGTCTATGATAATATTATCAGTTAGTTGAGTATACAATATTGTATACTGTTTCAAAATGCTGCAAAACTCAATTTTTCACTTGAATATAGACAAGCGAAGTGATGGCTGAGAAAATTACTTATTTAACTAATATTTATTTTCGCAATCAGAAAACCAGTATTACTGGTACCAGTCAATACCATAGACCGGAACCGAGTCGAGTGCACTTTTTTTTTGAAATGTATTGAGTCGAGTTTGAGAGACTAGGTTTTTTAAAAGCTTTCATTATTTCTTTCACTGTTTCTCGACATTGACCGTTATTATCAGTTGTTGCATTGAAATGGTACAAATCTCACTTATTGCAGTGAATTAATCGAACAAAAAAATAGGACAAATAAACGGCGATAAACTAACGACGGCCAATAGACAATAATGAATGACATAGAATGACTTTCATTGTATTCAATACATCAGGTTCTATTCACCAATTAGTCACACAGCAACGAATTGACCGGTTGGATTCCTGTTTCGTCGAAATTAACATCTCTAACGCAAATTACTTCAAAGCATATCAAAGCAGTGAGGGTGTCGGTGAAGGCGATTTTTCGACGAAGCGGGACCTAACCCATCTTACTTCTTGTAGAAGCCGAAGTGAAAAACAGTTCGGCTATGCGCTATGTAGAAACAGGGTAAACATCGCTTCTTACAGATTTTTTTATATCTTTTTGTTGTATTTTTGAAAATGCAGAAAATTATTCGTTCTTGGTCAGATCGAATTTTGAACACAAAAAAGAGACCATGTGACAGCTACTCAGACGACGAATAATGTGTTGAACGTAATTTGGACATCATGATACATTTCTGTTTATAATTAACGCACGTATCTACATTTTAGCCATAGGCCATTGCACTTCAAATTATGAATTTTATGTAATTTAAACAATTAATTTCATATATCGGTATCTGATTTTTTTTCGCGGTACGATTCAGTTCGATGTTCACTATTGAGTTGAGTTGATTGTGAATCTCAATGGTAGTTTCTGTGACGGTCTTAAAGCACGAAAAAATGTTGATGAAGAGAGTTCTTCAATCGATCTTGAAGAAATGAGGATACATGTTTGTTTCGCATTGAGTATCTAACCATGCATGCGGTGTCTAATGGGTCGAGTTCATTATCTACGCTTTATATCGTGTATGTGAAGATAATGATGATGAAGAATAACAAATGTTACCTAACCTAAGATGTTAAAACAGTCTCTTACATTTTGTTTTGCCTCATGATTTTTTCTAGTGACTTTTAATTAGCCCTTTCCGGCCGAACGTATCCAAATGGAAACATTTTCCCGTAGGGACCACGGCATTTTTCAAATAACCGGTCGGAAAGAGTTAATAGAAAAATTTCCTGTACAAATATTTATGCATAAAAAATGCATAATGAATTGTAAATATTGAAATGATCTTCATAATTCTCAAATTAGTTTTACCGAAAATACATTTCTGGATAAATCAAATACTTGAAGTATCTCGAGCACCACCAAGTTTTATGTGCAGAAGCCTAAAAGTTTTTGAATCATTCAATAAATCAACATGGACAGATCTTCATATCGATAAACATAATCAAACATGATACTGCAAGATCTGTTTTCATCTAAAAAAGACGACACACAGTCTTGTTTCGAATTCAATGAGTCGTTGTCGTATTAAAAGTATTACGTTTGAGTGAATTTTTAATTTACATTAGTTGAATAGCAGCAAGTGCTGCTATCAATTAGAGAGCATTGCAATTCTCAAGAAGCTCTCATGTATTGTTCCTGGTAGTATTCTTTGTAATTTTCTGAGCTAGTCTTTTTTTATTATTCATATTAGATAGAGATATCTAGATGGGAACAGTAATAAATATGTAGTTACTCAAAAGACTATATTTAGAAGTAATCGGAAGTAAATTATGTGTAATAGTCTAGTAAACATCATACTAGTATTTTGAATTTCTCTTCTGTTTAGTATTTTACTCAGTTTCAAAACTTTCAAATTATGTTTTCACTATAGAATCGAGGGTTACATCCCTCACAAATTAGTTTCCGTATAACAATTTGCAACTGTAGATTATATTCTAAAGATAGTTGCAACTTCAATAATTATATCTCTATGAATTATGTTTTGAAGAAAAATTATAATCCAACATTTTTGTTGTCGATGGTTGATATCTAAATACTAAAACACATACATAATTTAGATTCTAGTATTTTGTTGTTATTGACAACATATTATTCAGTTAACTGCGGGCTGTAATAAACGTTTTTATAACATTTTTCCTTGTACAAATAACAGAGATGATGAATAATATATAATCGGAGCGTCCTGTCATAGGATGCAATATTTAATGTTTTGAATTTATTTTTGAAGTTATAAATGGTTAGTTGAGCTAGAAACTTCGTACTCTATTTTGATTGGTCTACTCCATGCGCCATCTGTAGCAGCTTTTGAGTGTTGTATAATCGTAATTTATATTGATAGCTCTATAAGCTAACAGGAAGAAAATGAAATCTCAATTCTATTCCCAAACATTAAATAAGCATGAAGTAAGAATCATTGCAAAAACAATATTTATCTAGTTATAAATCATATAAATTTAAAACTGAATAACTAATACAGAGCAGCATTCTCAAATGAAAGAAATCTTGAGAGATTTTTGAAATTATTCATAGAAAAGAATTCCGTAGATGAAAAATGAGTCGGAAGAAAGTGTCATTGATTGTATAACAAAACGTTGTCTATGAAAAGTTTCTTTTTCATCTTAGGTTATTTCTTTGATTTGGCATTCCTGGAAGAAAAACTATTCTTCTATTATAATCAATGTGACAAAGAATTCTTGGATCTTCAACCAAAAACATTCAAACTGCATACAATTTTCAGGATATGATACTTCGAGCGCTATAACGTTATATTTTATGAGAGATATTGAACCTAGATGAATGAATTGTTCTATCGGGTTGAAAAAAGTGCGTCAATTATAAATGCACTTTTCTACACAATAGAGACAAAACACAATTCATAAAACAGACCATATCATATCCTGCATCTTGACATGCTCTTTCAATCGAACTCCTTGGAAAATTTACAAATGAGCGTTTCAACACATATAGACCGTGAAAAAAGATCAGAAAATGCCGGAAATTTTCGGGAGAAAAACGAGATGCTAAATAAATAATCATATCATTTAAGGAAGGCGAAACCTTATGCTATGTTTCTCGTGCATATATATGTCAGTTGTGATGTGTTCGCCAAAAATTGTCATTTTACGATTATTTGTCCTAATTGTCTATAAAATAAATTAGTTTCTTATACAAAAAAATAAATCTTTAAAGTTTCAGCATAGATTTAATTTTATTATTCTAAAATAAATTCATTTTCTTAAACTAAATTTATCATTAGCAGCGAACTCAATAGACTAAAACTAAAAATATTATATTATTTAGCTTTGTATAAAAAAATATAGGAAATTGATAGGATTATGATGAAAAATATCATATACACTTCGATTAAATAAAGGCAAGAAAAATAAACGGGAGTTCTCTGTTAAAATGAACGATAAACTGTACGTCCATTGAGAGGCATCACTGGTCGAAAGTTTTGACTAATATTACCATTCGTCGAATGATCACCTTTACATACGTATTTTAATTGACGTAATTGATCAAACTAGAAATGAAATTCAAACGATTGAAATTATCTTCATAATATAATTTATATTTACTTGACGTTTTGAAAGACCCACGGTCTCACGAAAAACTATCCAACAAACACTTTCATAACACATCGGCGTAGTTAATGAACCCTTATATGTATAATACGCTTGAGTATCGTCTAAAAAGATTAATTTAAATTTTGAAATTAAATTGAAAAAATTATTTGAATAATTTTACTTGGCAAAATATTTTTCAATGCAATTGTCGCTTGATTAATATTGATTTTTTCACTTTTATAAGTTACATTTGAAAGAAGATCAATGAATTTTGCAAATTCTTGATTATCCGATGGTACAACCTAAGCAATAATTTTTTGGTTTTATTTTACTATTGAAAACAAATTATCTGCGAATCGGATTCACTTTTACTAATATACCAAAAACCATTAAACCATCAAATTGGTCCGAGGCAGCGGCAGCTTTAGGTGTTTTATATTTACTTGTATTCCATGTCACTATATGTAACTATAAAAGGTCATATGTTAGATAAGAGAAACTTAAAGTTCACGATTTCTCATCCTACTTCACCGGGCAAACGAACACCATCAATAACATGTTCAGCACCTTCGAGATCATTGGCTCCCCAATGCATATGAAATTGTAAAAATTGATATTCATCAACAACAGGACCGCCAGTAATACCTATAAAAACAAGAAGAAGAAGAAGAAAAAAAATGATGTCTTACTATTCGCATGAGAAAAACAGGAAACACTTACGACTGGAACCTTTACCGGTCACTTGAAATGAACGACCTGTATTTTCTATTGTTTGACAACAGTTTTCATCGAACTTGAATGTAAATGGACGTTGAACCAATTGTGAGTCAAATTCACATTGATCAGTGTATATGCGAATAGGAGATTGAAATTTTTTACATTGAATATGTGGAAATATTTTACCCCACATACGTGGTCCTAATGAAACCGATGATAAACATTAATATATCCTGCATTAATAAGCAAATACAAAGGTTTCGCTTGAAGAAGAAAAAGGCCGATTGTGATGTATTAAAGATTGCCTCTTCGATTAGAATATTTTCATAGGTTTCGATGTAATTAAGCTCAAATAATCATAATTATTGTTATTCTTTTATTAATATTAGCACGAAAAACATCCGCAGTTTTTTTTATGCTAGTTTAATAGAGCACTGAACATGTAGAAAAGAATTGCATTTTTCAGATACATATATGTATTAATGAAGTGAACCTTTTTTTTTCTTCAATTATAATTCAATCCTGTAGCCATCACTTCCGTATAAACAATGGTAGATTAAACTAAAATAATGCTTATAGCTACAGATAAAAAAAAACTCAAGGTCGAATTCATTTTGCTTATCTACGAGAGAATCTAAGGAGTATATCGGATTTCATTTTGAAAAATAGAAATAATCGTTGTTTTTGTTTTTGTTTATTTTAAATATCATGTATTATGGTAAATGCTACTAGGAGAATTAAACGACCGAAACATTGTGATTCTACGGATAATAAAATAAGAAGTTTTTATTGAAAGAAGATAAATAGTAGTTTTATTATTCTAATTATGTCTGATATACATATTTAAATCTTATCAAACACAGAGAAGTTTTCTTTTTCTTTTTACTATGAGAAACTTCATTCAAACAAATATTGCAAAGTACTCAATTATCCTACCATGAATTACTGAATAATCCCAATATTCTGGATTCGCATTTGGCTTTTCTTCTGTTATAGGCTCCTTTTGTTGATCACCATTATGAAAAGTGATCGCTGGTGATTGCGTTGACGTTGATAAAATATTTTCTTTTCTATATTCATTTTTTGATTTGGTTGACCGACGAATCTGTATTTCAATGTCGCCAATTTCAATTAATATCGATGTAACAAGAAGCGATTGTGATTGGTTTTGTACCGTGTCCTGCGACAGTAAGCTTATGTAATTCTATATGAAAAATATCCTAAATAACTCACTGTTGCTGACTGTTTTAAATGAATAGCAATGCGATCAGTCCCATTACCAACAACTATAGATTGTGTATCGTTGTCAATCACCGTTGCCATTTTTCTTTGTAAACAGACAAATAAAACAAGTTAACTATTGATAATCTCTATTTTGTTTTCGTTAGTGGAGTATTTAGTACATGAATATATATAGATAAACAGATAAAGAGAAGATACTACTCTCCTTGGTATTTTTCGCTTATTGTTGGTGAGATTTTTTTTTCTTCGTGATAATTAAGTTGCATGCCACCTTTACATTGTCCGGAATGATGAAAGAAAGAGGAAAAAAGATCGAAGAAACCAGACAACCAAAGTGTAAGAGATAGAAACCATCACTACATACTAACTTCCGATATTCTCACGCATAGTATGGATCAGCTAATTATTTTGTTGAAATGGTAGACAACAAACGGAAAGTTAATTATGGGCAAGTAACATTTATTTTCACAACGTTAAACGGAAACAGTAATGCCGCATATTGCCGTTCTTCAAGTCACGTTCATGAAACGCGATATAGCGTAAAAATATCGAAAAATCGATAATGTTTTGCCTTTTTAAAAATTTTATCTATCATGATATTTACTATAAAACATTTAGCTAAAAAGATCAAAGCTTATTTTTAACTTATCCATATGTCAGATTAGTAGTTTGATTATTTTTACGTTTTGTTTTCCACGAAGAAAACAAAACAAGGGTTTTGCTTTTATATGAATTATGTAATAGAATAATATTTGATTAAATCGTTATCTATTGTGATTGTGATGGATCAAAGAGAATTTAATATCTCGATTGAAATTAATACTGCATAATCCATAAACAACTTGAACCAATCTTCATCTTAGCATCATAGAAACATTCAACGTTATTATCATAATTGAGAAGTTTCTTCTTTTGCAATTAACGACAAATAATTAAAAGAAACGAAACGGAAAGATTAGCAAGTACAATCAAGGTTAAGACATGTGATATTTTTTTTCATTTTATCAAACGAAAAAACTGAATAAAATAATGTTTGATTATCTTCTAAATAAAATTTTCTTTACAACAAAATCTCTAATCAATTCAGACTTTTATAAAGAAGACACAGAAGGTTCTATATTTATTTAATTATATAACTGATCAAAATTATTATTGCGATGATCAAAAAAATGTAACTGAGAAATAGCCAATTGAAGTTCCACATGGCGATCGACACATGACTTTTTTTTTACTCAAAAATTGCACTTATTTCATTTTATTGTTCGAAATGGGATTAGCAATGAAATGATTATGTATGCGTTTGTTGTTCTCAAAATTCAATCGGCAACCACATCGTCCAACCAACATCATCTGTGAACTGGTGAAAATATAAACGGCAAGAAAACTAATAATTTTTCATTGCAGATTAACAATGGCCAGCAACCTGAATGAAGAACAGCCACCTATTTCAACTCGATCCGAAACACTACCTACTGGCCATGATAACTGTTAGTTATTTTTGCTATCTAAGGTTGCAAGGTGCTACATGAATGTTGTTGTAATATTTAGCTGATAGAAAGAGAAATTGTAAATCTCCACTTAAAGCTTTGGAACCTGTGCGATCCGCTTCTCGACGAGTTCGTTCGGCATGTAATATTTCTTTTTTTCTTTGCTTTTAATTTATTAAAACGTGTCTGATTCTTTTTTAAAGTGCCGAACTGTTGTGCACGTTGTAAGATTCCATTATTAATTGATGCTAATGGACGTGAAACATCGAATAGATCTCCTGCTTCGGTATAGTTATAATGAAAAGTAAAAACATTTTCCCACCTATTTACATCCTAGGCTACATCTCAATCTGAACGTCTATGCCAAGAATGTCGTCAAGAAAGAGCACGTAGCTCATCAAGCCGTATATTTAAATCCGCTTCTGTTAATTGGTCACATATGGGTGGAAAAATTGGTGAAATAGTTGATGCCTATTTATTCGTTTTATTTCTTAATTTACTTTTTTCTTCTTCTTCTTAGGAACATGGTTTGAGAAAGCACGAACACCGGGTATTTATATTTGATATCACTCTATGCATTAATAATCAAGCACAAAGACATTCCTTTGTATTTTTTCGCTCAGAATATCAAGAGGGAAAAAAGTGTATTGCTTTAATACGAAAAAAAAGACAGTTAGATTGATGTGTCTAAAGAAAAAAATCTTTGTCCTACTGAAAGATGACGTTTTTCTTTTTTCCAGAAGAACAATCTGACATGATCTATTCCTTTGAAATCATACTAGGTTTTTTTCGCATTGAAAATCCGTCAATTTGAGTTGACTTCCTATCATTAAATCTAATGAATGGCTAGGTTTTTATTTTCTTGTTAACAACAAATATTTAATTCATTCGATGCATCGCCGTTTCGCTTGTTTGAACTAGCTTAAACAAATAACGTTCTTGTATAAATTTCGAATATTTAATTAAGTGCTTTGTTGTTGTTGGTGGTGTTACTTGGGAATAGAAAAAAAGTATATGACATGTCATAGTGCTAACCTCGGATTACGCGGTCTGTTTTTCTGACAGAAAATAATATGACTACTGGAAAGATTTTTAACCCTGCTACTAGATTATATCTAAATAGGTTGCTAGTATTAATCTTATTTCATGAGAAAAATTTAGGTTCAATATTGACAATTGTGCGAAATTCACAAGTTTCGTGTGTTGATATTTTGCGCGATTATATAATCATAAATTACAGTAAATAGTCTATGCAATGAAATGCATCATTTATCAACGTAGAAACGGTTAACAGATGTTGATGATATTTTGATATGAGCAAAACAATCAGAAGGTTCTTTATGATACGATGGTTGGATGTAGCGATACTCGATTTCATCGTAATTTATGGAATTTGTATTAGAAGTTTAAATCTAATTTTATCAATTTATGAAGTCTATATACGCTAGTAAAACAATTAGTTGACGACAAGATTATTAAGAACGTAGGCAAAAATTGAATCAATATCTATAGTTGATGTTCTTTAATAAATAATACTCGTTGGCCGGATCAATAAACAATTTATGCTCACAGGAATTCGAAATAAAAACAAAATCTGAGACACATTTTCTTTATAAATATAGGACGAAGTTTTTATTTTTGCTTTATCTATTTTGTTTTTGTCGATTCCTAGTGCAAAAAAGCAAACGATACACTTACCAGATATTCTTACAGAAATGCGAGAACATTTGGTAAAAACTTGTTGTTTTAGGGTCACATCGCCAATAATGATCACGAGGAAGAAAGCCAATAGGTTAGTCGGTCTTTTAAACACGATTAGTATTGCTGTTGCTGGAAGTAGAAATAGCTTCTTTGGCAAATACTAGTAGAAGAATTATTTATTAAATAAATATAAATACAAAAACCTGTTTTTTTCACATCTTACATCATTGTTTTTGCGTCCTACCTGATTATTATTTTGCAGCAAGTCTATGGCGAAGACATACATATATATATATAATATTTTAATATTTCTAGTTGTTTTTTATATTCTCTTCATCGTTGTCATAGATGGTCCTTATTCCCGAGTTTTTTTATATTTTTTTTTGTGTCGTATATTTAGGGTGTCTTGGTGTTCAATTGCCTGTTAATATAATTCGGATAGCCACACTATAGAAAAGAAAAAGAAAGATGTTTAGATAGAATAAAAATTAGAAAATGAGAGTTTCAGGAGAATTTTTGTCTATCTATTTTCCTGTTTTCCATCGAATGTTAAAGACCTGTCGTTAACTCTTTCGATTTATGATTACTGTCTTCGGATACAATTGCCAGCAGCAGCATCGAAGAAGAAAGCACTATATATGTGAAATAGCATTACTTCGACTTATAAGAACGGGAACTGAAGAAAGAACAAGCGAGAATCTAAATCGATAATAGAGCAAAACTAGCAAATCCCGATGTTGATCATCATACTACAGTCAGCACTCTGTTTCTTATATCCTTATCTGTTCCTTTTTCTATCGTTACTCTGGAACTATGTCAGTGCTTTCCCTTCCAGTTTTAAAGTGAATAGACATTGTTGGATTTCTTTGTCGATCCATTCTCGTTAAACATCATTTTTCTTTTATTCTTATTCATAGCTTGAAGTAATCAACAATTTATATGTCTTTAGAAAAATAATGAGCTTTTTAATAAAAAATCCATTAATAAAATCTGTTTCCATAGAAAAAAAGCAATGCTTGCATTATTTTTCATACGGAATATTCCACAGTGAATTTAGTTGTCATCTCCTATAATCTTACAAATTACTAAAACAAAAGAAATAACTGAATCGGTTTATTAGAAGCGAGCATCCATGAGAATAGCACATGACATGGTGATGCTTGATAGTAATAATATTGTAAGGTGTGTCAACTTGAAAATTATCAAAGAAATATCTCGTTTTGCTAGATAAATATATAAATATATGTGTATCAAATATGTTTATATATATATATATATAGATCAACGGGTTGTCTACAATTTTTTGGAGCAACTTAACGATGAAAAAACTAAAAAAGTTGAAAAATCACCGGAATTAACACGAGCAGAAAGTCTCAATGATGTACTCAATGGTTTAAAAAAGTAATTTTTAATCAAAAGAAAAATGAAAATGCTGCTTTTTTTTGTGAATGCTGTAGATATCAAGCACGTTTTCGTTCGGCTAATCCTCGAAATAAATTCACTCGTGCATTCGAATCTTCAAGTTGGCGTGTTTTACGACATCCATCAGAATCCTATGAATTCACTCAACCTGATCCTGTCTATGGAGATCAAGCCACACGGGATATGTGTATTGGTTCAGTATTTGCACCAACAAATAGACGAATACGTTCAACGTTTTTAATTCATCCCGATTGGGTTTAAAACAAATCTTTTTTTGAACAATATTATTTATTTTCGAGAACAAAACCGAACACCACATTTTAGAAAAGAAAATTGTTATATTCAATATAAATTATAGTCAATAGGGAAAAAAAATAAAAAAAGAGAAACGAAAGAATTTTGTAAAATTTAACCATCTACATTTGGAGTAGGAAAAAGTATTGTCGTAGATCGTTTAACATATTTATTGTCAAACATATTACCATGATATCTAATCTATCTTCTGCCATTCCCAGAACAGTTTATCACAATAGACTACTGTCGATGCAGCTATAAAAAAAAATATCATGTAATAAGTCAATGTATTTATAGAGAAAAGTTCTAAGGCCAAAAGCAAAAGAAAATAGACAAGAGCATTCACTTGCGATAATTTTAAAATGACTTTTTTGTTTTAGACGACATTACTTATAAAGATAAAACAAAATGATTGAATCCAAACAAAAAATAACAACATTTCGATTCGTGTTTGATCAGACTTTTGTTTATTGTATCCTGCATGTATATTATTGAGTATATGCCAGTATGATATATCCCCACGTTGTTTTCTATATGATACACAACAGACAATGACATATTTTTATCGCTTAGATTTGCATAGCAGTATATAACAGTAGCGAAGTTCGAATGACTAATTAATTATTTTAAATGAAAATATGTCTATCAAGAAAGGCAGAGAAAATAAGGAGTTGTGTTAATTGCCTAGGTCTATGAAAGATCTTTAAGATAATTAATAATAATAGTGAAGGGATTACAACATTGATCGACCTTTGATATTATGAGACATCTTGAAAATTAAAGTCCTAGAAAAGGGCCAAATTATTTTATTATTTATAGAACAATTAATTATGTTTGTACGCAATAGATCAAGTAAGATAATAAACTCATTCAAAATTTTATCATGTACGCCGATAGAGCTCGCCACGAATTAATAATTACTAATTTCTGTAGATTCTCTGCACTATCAAAATCATCGGTTAGCATGGAAATGAAGTTGTCATTTACCTAATCAAAATTGATTGATAATTACATTTTTTCCGTCGAACATGTAGATTGTAGATAATAAAACTAAGCCCAAATCATTCAAATGTAATCGAAAGTTATAGCTCTTTATTTACTAATGCGCATCAAAATGGTATTTTGAGTTAAAGAAACGTTTTTTTTTCAAAAAGCTAAAATTTGACAAGTTAAATATATTCGACATTAATAACTAATCGGCTTAAATTCTATCGTCGCTTGTTAGTTTATCCATTAGTAGAGAAACATGGAGGATCTGTCCTCTTGATTTCCTAATTGAATAAAATACCTAGCGTAGCATAGGAAATACGCATTATATAAATTTTAAGGAAAATTTTCGATGAAAATGAATAATCAACTGCGGAGCTAAAACAACAGTTTGAATTTTTTTTATTTGCGAACAAGATTGTTAGCAGCATTCTGTGCAAGTAAAAGCTTCACTTATTAATCAAAATTTTCCAGGAGCATCGTCTAATAAGTTTCGCTGTACAATCCACTGGAACAATGATATTGGAATACGAGCCATAAAATTCAAAAACAAAACTAGAGAATATTTTGATTAGAAAAACACATTTCTCCGTTCTGGAATAATGCCAACTCTCCCGAATATGTTATACACAAGTCCAATCATAAACATTAATATTTAGGCGTTGTTTTATGTGATGGCCTAACTTTTGCTCAACTTTTTTTATCAGAAACGTGCCCGTTTTGCCACATGTTGCCTATGGAAAACACTCTATGGCATGCCTAATTAACTTGACAAGATGATACACTCAACTGACTAGTTAATGTGAAATCGCGTGTTAATAAATTAGAAATCATACGTCGATAACGTATTCGAAACAACTTCTATTCACAATATGTGTTGTGACAAGCACGCCAAGCTTTTAAAATGATACTGGGAAAGATTATCATGCGTTATTTAACAAAATGAGTAGTTTTCCAAGCAGATGAGTGTTGAAGATAATTATTCTAAAATGACTAATTCAATCTTCCTAAGTACTTTTCCTATCAATCCAAGTACAAAAACAACTGTGCATTCAAAATCTAATTATCATCAAACCTTATGACGATCAATACCTATCGTCACATCAAGCGAAATTATGTTTAATATTATTTTCTATATTTCTCAAATGAAAATGAAAATTAATTCAACAATCTTTCTGACAACAATGCTGCTGATCGAAAATCAATTTCACTTGGTGTCGATCGTTCCAAACGATACTTTTCGATGTAGAGATGAAAGATTTCGAATAAGTTGGTCGATTTTAATATTATTTATATGTGTCGGAGGTAATGTATTTCGATATATTTCAGCGGCTCTTTCGTAATACGATAATGCTTGATCTTCATTACGTTTTAAAGCATAAACAATACCAATATTACCCAATGCTTTAGCGATATTTGGATGATCCGATAAATAATGTTTTTCTAAAATTTTCAACGATAATTGATAATGTTCTAAGGCAAGATCGTATTCTTCGAAAGTTCTATATGTACTCGCAATATTACAATGGGCTTTACTTATATCAAAATCATCATTTGTAACATATTTTTCTAAAATATTCAATGCTTTTTTAAAATAATCTAACGCTAATAAATAATCTTTATCATGTTTATAAATAATTCCCATATTATTTATACATTCGGCTATATTTAAATAATTATCATCAACTGATTGTTTCCATATAATAAGTGCTTTATCATAATATTCAATTGCGGATTTCGAATCATCTTTTTGATTATACACATAACCCATGCTACTATAAATACGTGCAAAAAACATATCATTTGGCTGTAATGTTCTTAGTGATATGTCAAGTGATTTTAATAGCCAATCAAGACTTGCATCATAATTATTTTTAATAAAATCTATATTACCTAGATTCAGTAGACAACTACCAATGCATTCATCGTCATCGGACAACTCATTACATAAACGATAGTAATATTTTTTTGCTTCATCTAGTTCGTTCATTTTTTCTAGTATACAACCAAATGATAGAAGATCTAGATCGTCGTCGTCGTCATCATCTTTATAATCAGTAAAAATAGGTTTTAATTGCGTATTTGTTCTATTAGATAATACCATTTCAACAATCCATAAACCATTATCATCTTGATGAATATTTTTCAATTGAAATATAGATCCTAACATGAATAGTACATCATCTTGATCATTATTTAAATAACTTAATGATTTAATTTTAGCGAACGGCTTCGTCTTATCAAGATTAGAATCAGCAGCGATTTCGAATAATATTGGTTGGGCATCTTTGGTCTCTACTCGCGTTTTAGAAGAAGTTAGTGCAAGATTACGATCAACTGTCGTCAAAAGAAAATTATTTATTGATATATATTGTCCAATCGAATTTTTCAGCATTTCCATTTCTTTATTCGATATTAATTCATATCTATAAACTTGAATAGGTGTTAAACAGCGATATTCTTTTAATTGTCGTTCAATATCATGAATAAAAAATCTAAGAAAAAAAATCAAATCCATATTTCGTACTCTTAAAGCTTTGTTTAATAATTGAGAAATAAAAGTATCTCTCGTAAACCACCATATAGCAGTATCTGGCCGGTAGTTTTGCTGAAATTCACGAATAATATTTAAATGAACTTTATTTCCTTTGTATTGCATCCGACATAAACTAAGAAAATCAATCATATCATTTGGCATTGGATCCATTTGAAGTAAAATATCAATTAAAATTTGCCAATAGATAAATTTCTGGTTAGAATCATTTTTTTCATCGCTATGAAATATTTCGAATAGAATTTTATTTGTAATATTTTTATATTTAATTTGATCTGATTCAATTCGTTTTATCAGTTCATCATAATTAATACAAATAGATTTAATCTAAAACTAGAGATTTTTATATTCGATGAATCAATGATATTTATTTGTACCTTATGAAATTGATTCATCCATCGCTGATCGATATTTTTATTTTGCGCATGAATATATATGGAAAATATTTGTTGTGAATTATGAATACGTGGAATGAAGTTTTCGCCTATTTGATCATTAGTAATCAATATAATATAATCATCGTCCGACATGCTTTTAATATATTCTTCACAAGCATCTTCGTTTTGAAATATTTTTAAATGATTTATTATTGTACGAAGTTTTCGTTGCATCGAAAGATTTTTTTGAGATTTTTTCTTGTTATTATCAAGCCAAATAATTGTGTAAATACCGAGATTCTCATTAACATTCCATGTTTCCGACGAGGAAGTTTTTGAACTATGGCATAGACCCATTGCCGAGAGGCTGTAACTCTGCCGCAGTTTATTTGCCGTGTAAAACGTCTATGATAAGCTACTATAACGTGTCGAATGAGGAAAAAGAACGGTTATATAATAAAATAAACGAAGCAATAAAACCGGTTCGTTCTCTTTTTTTTTGTTGTTATGGGCAATGATATATTATGGTAAATAATTGATTTTTGATAAAAAAGCGTCTTATATATATATGGTATGTGATCGGACGTTGATTGTGTACCTATCAAAAAACAATATATTCGATATAAAACTAACAATCTGATGCGACCGATAAGAATCGAACACGAGTATACATCCGTATTCCGTTTTTATAACTTTTGTTTTGCTTGTAAATGCGATGAAAGAAGGTCACATTTACATATATGACATATCATGCGAAAAAGCAAAATTTAGTCATAATTGCTTAAATTTGCTTTCGAAAGTCTCGATTGTTTTGTGTGATTTACTAATATGAAAGGTTACAATTAATTTCTTTTGCGATATGAATAGACAAAAGTCGTAATAGGGATAAAGAAAATGTATTAAATATAAATTTCATATCAAACTAATCTTTCTGCAATTAAGTATATCTTGATAAGACTCGTTGAATTGTGCTCTGATTCATGAGATGTGAGTTCTTCCTCGTGTAGTAGTTAAAAATGGCATTTCGCAATTTTAGCCTGAAATTCGACCCCTGTGATACAAGATTACGTTTTTTTTTTAAAGTTTCAGAGTATTCCAAGGCTTACCTATAAAGAAAAGTTCAATTTTAAAGTGTGTTATTCAATTTCTTCACTCGACAATTGAACGGAAAGAAAAGTTTTTATAGCTTCAGAAAGACAGTACGTTGCAACCAAACTTTGAAGGAGAAAAACGTAATATAATCGACGAGTAACAAATGCAAATATTCTCTTCAAAGTGAAACTGAGCATGTTTTTTTAACTGTTCGAGTTGACTTATCGTTCTTAATCTCATGGTACACATAAAGGAAAACAATATGAATTTACTAGCAGTTTATTTTTTATGAATATCTTTTCTAAACACCTGGAAATATACCCATTACTTATCATCTAGATTATTAATTGTGCTGTTGGCTTGGCTAGAAAATGGAATTTTTGTTTCCTGAAAGTTTTTAAAGAAAACCAAAAGAAGTATGAATCTAGATATTAGCAGTTAAAATAGTGTCTTGCAGGTCATCATAACCCATAATCTAAAATCTATGAAAGCAGTAAATTTCTTTTTTTTACGTCAGTCAAGAAAGATAAGAACGAAGCTGCATACAGAAAAAAAACAATAGTGATTTAGATTTTACATAAGATAAAAATATAGGAAAGCGAATATTATGTAAACTAATGTTCTTGTATCATCCAGAAAAGCGATTCGTTTTATGTTTAAATGGATGATTATCAACAAAATCAGTTGTTCATTTAATTTCTTATTAGAAGATCGACGAAAAAATTCACCGGAAAATTCGCTTCTCTCTATATTAAATTACTCGGTCTGATCTCCATATCGACCTTTGTAAGTGAACGATCGAAAGATTGCGGACGTTTTATAATACGTGTTGTTATTGCAGATGGTACCGACGATTGTCGATAACGTATCATACATGGAGTCGGTGGACATGCACATTCGGGCACTTCAGGCTGTTTTGTATACGACGGATTTATAAGAGATAAATTTTTACAATCCAAAGTTCCGGCAACATTTGATGTTGGCCGAGTATTAAAAAAACTACTTGGACATGCTTGAAAAAAAGAATAGTTGGCAATTTTTTTATGAGAATTTTTCATGCATACTTTTATTTGGTGGTGGCTTTTCCCATAAGGATGGCGATGATGCCGTGGCATTTGAATCTTTGTTGGCACAAAATAAATATGAAGCATCATAAACGGTTCGAGTAGGTTCTGATGAATTATTTGCCTGAGGATGCACTTGACTTTTACGCACTTTTGATCGTTCTAAATTCGATTTAGATTGTGCAATTTATGCATGTAGACTGACAATTTGATTTACCTCGAGTTGGTTTCACACGATTGGCATTGTGGTGATGATGATGAAGCACTGAACGCACTTGAATTGATCGAGCCCGAAAACGATCAACTAAAATAAAAGCGGATAAATTAATTATAGAAATAAAACGAAAATATCAATTTGATATGAACAGGATTGTTCTGCTTTTGCTTTCTAATTAATATAGATAAATTAACAATTCCAAATGAAAGAAAACTGAAAAAGTGGCCTCCTATTGTTGTACTCATGTTTTGCTTTTGCAATAGAAAACAGGAATTTCAAGGGACGGAACCAGTAAGAAATAAACATTTCAACATACTAGCCATCCAATGAGCAACAAGTCAGACTCGATACATAAGTAAATAGCTTTTTCCTTATTATTTGATTAATTCTAGTATATAGTAGCAATAATATATTTTGAAATATAAATAAAGTTCTACTATACTTAGAAGATCAGATCTAAACTAAACGTGAACATTGCAGTATTCAAAATACTACTCCTGTGAATAATGAGTAACGTATAAACGTCTAAAAGAAATTGAAATCGCTATGATTTTCTTGTTCATTTTTTTGTCATGAAACCATCCGTACAATTTTCTTCCATAACTTCAATTTATTATAACAGAATTTCTCAAATACTTGAAATATTCTTTATATTATTCATCATTGGAAATACTTTTCTATGCTGACATCATTCAAAACTTGAATAGCATTGACTTCAGCATTGAAAAATTAAATAAAACTATCACTAAACACTCACAAGACAATGGAACACTTGATGATCGACTTGACGATGATGATGACATCGAATCTTTCAATAGAAATGCGTGTACGTGTATTTCGTATATTAGGATAAATAGTTCCGTTAGATTTTGCTTCTATCCAATCAGGAATAAAATCTTATGGTTGATTATATCTCATAATTTCAGAGGAAAAAACATCGCTGAATACGGATATAGAGAAAAGGTAGATAAATAGCAGATTTTCTAGCTGAATAAGCAGTTGAGATTGAATTTCTCAAGTAGACTTCCATCGTCACTATTCATAAAGTCCTTTTTTGCGCAGATAAAAATAGTTATTTTTACTTTGATATACAATAAGTTTGTTTTCTTTTAGCAAAACAACAAAATTAAGTCGAATTTTATTATTAAACTTTCAGAAAAAAAAATGAATAAATCATCAGTTAGAGAGTTTATTGAATAAAGATAAAAGAAATAAATATATTAGAAACGATATTTCTTCGTTTCTTTTTATAGATAAAAATAATGAGATAAGATTATAGTTTAGCCAATTCTTGAAAATAGACGCTCATTACTTTCATTCCATTCATATAATTACTAATATCAAATTTTTCATTTTGCGAATGTGCGCCATCATCACTGGCACCAATTGGTAATAATAAAACATTTTTGCCTGTTTGTTCTTGAAATGTTACTAAATAGAAACGCAAAGTAAATGAATAGAATTTTTTGTTGATTTCATCAAAAAGAAGTAAAATTTACATGTAATTGGAATTGAACCACCTTCACGTGTCAAATCAGGTTCAATACCATGAACAGCAACTGTTGCTTTACGCGCTGCAACATATTGAGGATTATTTGGATCAGCAATCCAATAATCACCGCCATGTTCTAATTTAACCGAAACTTTATTTGGAGAATTTCGTTCTTTCATTATTGTTTGAACGTGATTTTCAACTAATTTTTCTACAGTTGATATTTTCATATTTGGAACGATACGGATCGAAAATTTCCCAATAACATGACGTGGTATAACTGTTTTGCAACCACAACCATCGAAGGCTCCTAAATAGAAATTTGTTTTTTTTTATTTTCGAAACAAATTTTTTCTTCAGTTTTTACCTTGAATTCCATGCAGAGATAATGATGGATATCGCCATCGATGCATTAAAATTTGATCTTTTTCCGATTGAATCGTACTTTGAACACCTGCTTCCGAACAATAAGCAGCCTGAAAAGAATAGTAGAGCATTGATTCAATCAGACAATAGAAAAATTTAATTCAACGTACAGTATCAAATGTTATTGGTTTGTAAAGTTCTTCTTCTTCTAATGTAAGTGGTACAACTTCATCGTACAGACGGTCAATTAAAATATGACCTTTATTATCAACTAATGTACCCATTATAGCAATTAAATCGGTCATGGCTTCATGACTAAAATTAAATCAATAGAGAATGTCAGCTGAAACAGTTTTCTTACACCAGAAAGCTATGATAAATTTTCAATAAATAGGAATAACAATTTAATTTGCATTATCTTTCTGGCTTTAATAATAAAGCAGTGAGTTTCAGAGGTCCTCTTATCTCCTCAAATCTGAAATTTCTATTGCTCTTTGTTGTAGAGAAGAAAACAAAAAAAAACTACTTACATTGTACCGCCAAAGCAACCTGAATGTAAGTCTTTTGTTGAACATTCAACATCAAGAAAGAAATAACAGATTCCTCTAAAACAATAATAATGAAAAATAGATCAAAATCAAAGATTATTGTTGCCTACCGAAGACCATATTGTAAACAAGGCTTTGTTTTACCTAACCAATAACTATCCGAAATAACAACATAGTCGACTCCGGAGAGGAATGTATTTTTCAACGATTTAAGTAAATCTTCAAGACCATCACTGCCATATTCTTCCATACTTTCAAGAACGAATTTAACATTTACAGGAAATGGTTCATTCAGCTTTTGATATGCTTCAATAACATTAAGCCAACTAATAACTGGACCCTTATCATCAGTTGATCCACGGCCATATAATTTTCCATCTCTTTCAGTTAGTACAAATGGTTCGGAGTCCCAACCATCTGAAAGTTGAGCTGGTTGAACATCCAAATGGCCATAGATCATAACAGTTTTCTTAGCTGTATCATTTCCATAAGTGCCTAAAATAACATTTGGTAATTTAAGTTTTGTACCATCCGACAGTTTTTGTTCGCCAACATCAGCTAATTCAACTGTAATACCCAATGTTTCCATGAAAGATTTCGTCCATTCGACCATACGAACAACTTCAGGTCGATGTTCAGGCCATGCTGATACAGATGGAATACTCACAGCATCGCTCAATCTTTGAATGTAATCTTTTTGATGATCATCAAGATATCTATGCAACAATAACGAAAAAAAAATTATAATTCACTTCTTGAATTCTATTTGAATTCAAATATCTTACTTAGCTATACGTTTATTCAAATCGTCGCTCGACATAGTTGTTGGTTGGTAATTCACACCTTTTGGTTGCTTTTTTTATCTATAAATATTTTTAAAAAAGGCAAGTGAAATAGATAGTGAAACAAGCTTTTATAGCTCTCTTGTATATTTGCACATGAGGATATCTTTCATGTGTCTTGATCAAAGTTTCTGAAAGATAGCATTCAAGTGCAGTATCACGGACAACAACAACTGAAAAAAAGACGTGTTCCTTCGACGTCGTAAACGTCTATTTTTCGATCGAGATTATCATTAAGAAGGTATTTATCTTTTTACATAAATCATAAATAAATTGATCATTGGTTGAATTTTGAGTCTTGAAAATATACCTTTGAAACAAGAGTAAATATTATGAAAAATGAATTTTTGAGATTAGCAATCATCCTAGAACCGAATGATAGAATGGTAAATCATAACGAATATCCTTGTATTATCAATAGTATGCATCATCAATCTAGCGTTCGATTACGAATCATTAAATAAATGGCGAATCGGCAATCATTAATGCACTTGCAATGACACTCACTATTCACACTATAGAAATTATTTCAATTATAGAGATTTTGAATTGTAATGGTCGAATTTTCAAGAATTAAACTAAAGGCAAATAATTAGTTTAACGCCATCTTTCATCGATAGTCGTTTTCAAACGAAATCGATCGAACTATTCTCACATAGTGACTGTAGTCGAGTGGTATGATTTCTTTTCAAGGCAACAAAATAGCTACTAAATGCATTTCACATTCATTCTTTTTTTTCAACAATTAATTAATATGAGACAAATCTTCAATAAAATATACCAATACAACATTTAGGATTTTTCAATCACTCTCTACTATACAAATCTTTCGACGACAACATATTTGTCCCATATTACATTTAACCACATCTGAAATAGATAGCAACATCAAAAAATCAACAATATATTTCCCCTCTATCTCTTTCAACAATGCACTGTCCCCTTCCCCACCGATTCTTATGATTGAATCATAGAGACAACCGAAAGTTTGATTTCGAATTTTCTTATTAACAACTTTTTTTTATATGTACGCATCTATATATATTATGCGCCATACGTTCTCTGTTCATTAAAGCACAGTTCAGTTCTACAAGAACCACGCTAATACTACTATGAAGAAATAATAATGTATACAAAAAAAAAGGAGAAGCCATGGCATGGATGAGAGAAAAAGAAAAGTCTGTGTCTATCTATCTATATGTTATACATATATACAATTTAGCAAAACTAAAATGAAACGGAAACTTTTTTGTTTATAAACAAAAAAAAAACGAACGAAGCCCAACCGAAAGAAAAAAAAATAAACCAAAAGAAAAATGAAACGAAACGAATGCGTAATATGAAAAACAAAATCTGTGCCACAAAACTGTACAATAAAATGTTTATGTCCGTACACAACGTCGTTGTCGATTGCCAAGTACAATATTGTCAAGATCGAGACCTGATCCGAGAAATAATTTTTTATTTTTAAGTTTTGAAATACTAGACGGAGTTTTCTTTTTGTTTGATTTTTTAATCACTGATGAATAACTTGTTTTAGTTTTAGTTATTTTTGTAGATTTTACTTTTTCAATTATAGTTGCCGGTGGTTGAAGAGGTTTTGTTCGGCGCAATTTTACACGTTCTTCAATCGATAATGATGGTGATAGATCACTCGAATCCGTTTGAGAGACATTTAATGGTTTTGTTTTGTCTTGAGTATTTACTTTTTTCTTTTTACTAATATTAGCAGCTGTTGATTTAATGGCAGTCTAAATTTAGAATTCATTGTAAAAATCTCATCTTCAGGGTTTTTATAGAGATCATTAGGAGTATAATGTATTTATTATGGGTATTTTTTCTTTTATTATTTATCTATTTGTCTAGTTTTAACAAATTTCTAATACAGTCAAAAGGTTTCCTTCCAATGAAATTTCTCATTCATTATTAACCTGACCCTCATTCAAAACGATGCGTTCGTTATATCACCAATCAATGAATTTTTTTATATGGAAATAAACATACTTTTGATGAAATTTTGCTATCTTGCTTTTTTGTTGATTCTGACCGTGAATCAGTTACTAGAGTTCGTGTAGATATACGCGTACGACGAGATCCGATCGATTTTTTCTTGTTTGCTGATGATTTATTTTTATTTCTTGATGTGCTGGTTGTTGTAGATGTTGGTGTATTATTTGAATTTAATATAATTATCGAAGTATTCTCTTTATCACTTGAACTACGATCAATTGATACCGCACGATTGGTCGTGGAGATTGTTCCATCTAATAGAATAAATGAGAAACTAGAAATCCGGAAGTTAAAATCAAAATCATACTTCTACGATTTGAAGATCTATGACGCTTTTTAGTTTTTTCTTCGCGTTGATTTAAAGGTAATTCATCGTTTTCATCAGTAACAGGTCGTAAAGAATACGAATGATCAGAAAGAAATGTATAGGTACTTAACATGGTTACAATATCAATTCATTGAATAATTAAGTGAATAAACTATTAACCATTTAATATGAAAATATAATAGATTCTCTAGAAAATAAATAACTTGATCTGACAGATCTTTAAGAAAATACGTAAATAAACAACATTTTTTAGTACCGACGAAATTTTCAGTTGGTTACTGTATTCGTTCATTCAGTTAATTTACAATTAAGATTTTTCTACAAAAGTGATTTTTTTCCGATTGTACTTCACAAAAGATTTTAAATATATCATTTCGAAGATTTTCGCTCACGAAGCTTTTCTAAATGTATAATAGTGACATCTGTAGAGATCTTTCTTCTTTTTTTTAAATTGAAATATATAAATCCCTTGATAGCAGGTAATTCAGATTTTCATCATGCATAGCCAACACAATCAGTACAATCAGTAGTAACACGTGTTTTTCGATATATTTGTGAAAAAGCCAAATCACTCCATTTTACTATGAGTGATTAATCAAATACAATGACATTCAAATTTCTCTTTAAAGCCTACAATATTTGAATCTTCTAAGACTCAATTCTTTATTTTTATAGCAACATAATGCAACATGAAATCAGCTAAAATGAATTAATCTTCATTGTTAATCAATACTGCAGATCTTAGAAGAGGACAGATGTTTGCCATACGTCGTGTCATACCAGTCAGATCAATAGCAGATAACGTACATCAACAGATCTGACAGTTATCCAAATAGATAATGCCTACATTGGCATTCAGTGCATAAAAAATTTAATTATTAAAATTTCATTCTATAGTCACACGACAAGCAAACCAATGAAATGCTGTACAGTCTATTTTTAGAGAACGCACACGACGCAGTTACTATGTTTATCAATGTTGCATATAGTATATAACCTGGCGAGGGTTCGATTGAATCTTCGATAATAAAATTTATGACCTCGTTTAAAGCATTTCTTTTTCTTTAAATTACTAAATAATTTCTTCTTTACTATGCATAACTTAGGCAATAATTAAGCAAGGACATTAGTCCTATCAATTATTGAATTTACCTATAATTACCATAATATTCAATTATTTCATATTCATGGACATCTTCTTATAGACAAAATACAATTCTTCGACATTGAAATACTGTTTATGAAAACAACTTTTCTCTGTATGCAATTCAAAGACAAGAAAAAACAGATGTTTACGGCTAGTTCTCTATTTTTTATCGACAAGTGAGGAAAAAAAGGTTTACATAACAGGACTTGAATTTTAACTACAATAAAATAAAAAAATGAGGAAGTCCTATAAATCCGTTTTTATTTTTTCTTGATCAGTTGTATTCATCGATGCTTGTTTGTTCTCTGAAGGCGTTTTACTTTTGTTTGATCGTTTTTTAGTATCTGTATTGTATCGTGGTTTCGGCTTTTTACTCAATGAATTTCGATCTTCATTATTAATTATTTCTTCATGTTCTTCAATTTCTTCTTCTGTATTACCTATGAAGTACATACAGATATGGATGAATAGTACATTTTAAAGTGATCGAAAAAATTGATGTCTATCTACCTGCTTGACATTCTTCACTGCAATCTTCCTTACGACTGACTGGACATTTCATGCGTTGCATACATTTATCATATGACAAAAACTCATTTGCTATTGATGATGAGTAGACTAAATGAATAAATCAAAACTATTATGATTACAGTTTATTTTCATGAATAAATTTACTATTAGAAGCTACTATTCTATGCCGTTTATCAGTGTGTTCTTCGTCACTGTCTAATTGTTTATGTTGCTTTGTTTCTGTTGTTTCACTGTGAATTTGTTGATATGTACAGAGAGTAAGCAGGGAGAATAAAAATAAATATCGTACTGCTAGATCAACCTGCATATTAAAAAAAACATGACAATTAAAAAAATATTAAGTGGCTATATGAAGATTTTTTTTTCTATTTGTTCTTTTTCGTTTTCGTTTTCTTCAATAATTTTCATTTTGTCTATTTTGGTATGAAGACAAGTTGAATGAATAATCATATGGACATCTGAACGCTTCAATGCGAAACGCAAAACAGGTTAACGACGTTTGCAATGCATCACATAAATATGCATGAGTCGAATATACCTTTTTCTCTTTTTTTTTTCTAGCGTCTCTCTGTCTCTCTCTGTACTCGTATGTGAATGTTGTTGAACAACATCGCCGATACACCGTGAGTTTGAAACGAGTGATAATGGCGAAATAATACATAGTGCTCTCTTTTTTTTCTCTTCTTCCCTATTCTTTCGTCATTCACATGTAAAATATTACACTAAAGAGTCGTATCGTACATTTTACCATGAAAACAATCGAAAAAAAACGAATACTATTAACAGTCGACACACAAGAATGATCGAAAAAAGAAGAATAATCGAGTAAAACAAAAGGTCGACCTGTACAATCAAACCTAGAAAAGAAAACGTCTGCTTATTGTGATTATAGCTTAAAAAGAAGGTAACATAAATGGTCAACAAAGATTATTATGCTATATTAGGTGTCAACACATCGGCTAGTGATGATGAAATCAAACGCGCCTATAAACAAAAAGCACTTAAACATCATCCGGACAAAAATCGTGGTGATGTTGAAGCTGAAAAAAAATTTATGGACATTAGCGAAGCATATGAAATATTATCCGATCCATATAAACGTTCTTTATATGAACGTTTTGGTTCTGAAGAATTACGAAATTATTTAGGTGCAGATCCTCGTTCACATTTTCATACGTCCGGTAATTATTATTCAGAATATGGAACTGATTCGAATAATGAGTATACATATGATCCATATAATAATTATTTTGTACGTTATAAAGATCCATCAACATTCTATGATTTATATGTTACATTAGAAGAAGTTAATAAGGGTGCAACACGAAAAATAAAAGTAACACGTAAACGATTTAATGCTGAACTTAATGCAACTGTACCAGATGAAAAACTACTTGAAATTCAGATAAAACCTGGTTGGAAAGAAGGTAAAATAATAGTTTTATTTTAGCAGAAAAAAATTTTCGTAATTATGTTTTTAGGAACTAAAATAACCTTTGAAGGTGAAGGTGACGAAGGTGATAAAAATACTATAGCAGGTGATATTGTATTTATTATTCGAGATAAACCACATTCAGCATTTGAACGATCGCATTCGGATTTAATCTATCGAGTTAAATTAACTTTAAAACAAGCATTACTCGGTACATTAGTTGTTATACCATTTCTTGATTCAACAAAAGCACCCTATCAATTTCGTTCGAATCTTGACATTATCACACCACAAACAGAGAAACGTTTTATAAATGAAGGTCTACCTTATCCAAAAGATCCAACAAGACGAGGCGATCTTATTGTTAAATTTGATATTCTTTTTCCAAAAGCGCTCAATAAAGAGCAGCGTACAATTGTAGATTGTTGCTTTTCCAATTCTATTGATTTTTATCAACCCCATGATTGTGTATATCATAATACAATTATTGAACCAATAGTAACACCAGAACAACCACCCCCAGCACAACAACAGCAGCAGCAATCTTCATCATCAACATCATCAACATCATCATCACCTTCTTCACAGTCACAACAGCAACAACAACAAACATCAGCCACACAAAAATCACAAGCATCATCATCACAAAAACCACAAGCATCACCCTCACAAAAACCGCAAGCGTCACCCTCACAAAAACCGCAAGCGTCACCCTCACAAAAAACACAAGCGTCACCCTCACAAAAACCATCTATTCCAAATTTAAATAGCACACCAACGAACAAACCTCAATCCACAACGACTAACACGAATCATCATAATCACAACAATAATATTAATAGCAATAATCATCATCATAATCCTCTTCACCATCAAAACGTCTTAAATCGTAATGGTAATATCAACGGACATGAAAAGTCAGCCGATTCTCCAAATAAAATTCTTATTAAAAATAAAATATCCTCTGTAGATCCTTCTTTATACGCATCACTATCAACCTCACCTGCAACGTCACTTATCAAGGAGACTATTTTTTGATCTTTGCTATTGTCATCAATCATAACACTTTTTTTCTCTCTCGCTTTCTATCTCTCTTTTTTCTTCTTATACAAATCGAGTTCTACCTGTTCCTATGCGACGTCGTTTTAGTAATGATGAGAGTAGCTAAATCATTTTTGAATAAAAATAAAAATAAAAAACTGATGCCTATACAACTATTTTTATATTAAATAAGATCGATAATAAATAAATGCAATTTTTGACTGATTACTTGCCACGATAATTAAATTAATCATACACAAATGCACAGAAGTATATTCTTACCATTGTAGAGGTCTTACGTCGGTTGGAACTAACCAAAAAAAAACAATAGATAGCTGTATAATCAGTGTCTCGTAGTTTTTTCCTTCTCTTGAGATAGAACTAGTAATAACATTCGCGAGAAAGAAATGAATAACAAATATATATATATATATATTGTAAATTCCTAAGAGCTATCGAACGAGAAAATATGTACCACGACGTCAAATAAATGATAATAGAATAAGGAAAATATTTATCCGTATAGAGAAATATCAATCAAATTAATAATAGTTCACGTTATGATAACAATATTATTCTATTTCGTATTTACCGTACTGTACAGACACCAATTGTTAACGACATCTGTCATTGATAGAAAGGATAAAAGTTTTCTCTAATGGCCAACCCGAAGTTGGAACTTCTAAATAACAAGAATAAAAAGCGTTTGTTTTTTTGCATATATTGACCTGTTCATTTGTTCTCTTTGCGTCGTTTGATCGAACGATGGTTGAAATACATACAAATCGGTCAATCGATATATCAAATACTGTCAATACAGCTGTAACAAATTGGTCGCCTGATGGAAAAAATCAGTTGTACGAAACACTATTGATTTTTACAAGTATTGTTATTTCTTTTCTTTTCTTTTCTTTAGTAATCAACTTTATAAACAACTACTTGATGAAGATAAAGATAAATTTGAAGCCGAATTGGGTAAGATTTATTTCATTTATTTGATGGAAAATAATTCATTTTTTCTCTGTAGCCATGAAGCAATTACTTCTTTCGTTATGTAAATCATGTTTACAAGGAACTCAATCAATAGAAACTGTTATTCGAATCTTTGGTGAACTCCAAGTAAATTAATTGCTTAGAAAAAGAAAATTATTTGAATTTATTTAATTTTCTAGGAAATTGCAAAGGTGCCATCAATTATCGGAGATCTTCTAGCCGACATATTGGCTACACTCGGTACGTTATTTTCCCAGTTACCATTTTATTATTACGAAAATCGTTTTTTCGTCGTCTTCTAATATAGATATCGAATTATTTCCAATCGATGATGTAATTACAAAAGATACATATAAACAAAAATTCTTTCAACTTATCAATAATTCGGAAGTAAGAATCGAATCAGAATGTATTTATTTTTTCATCGAATATTATATCTATCACTATCAGTATGGACCTTACGGTGATAAAAAAAAAACTAAAAACATGCATTTATTGAATCATATGTTTATAATGAATTGGTCAGTAAACATTTAAAAATATCAGACAGAAAATATACACATTTGGATAGAAAAGAATGCTGATATTTCTAAACTTTATCTCGCTGATCAAAAGTTCATTGTTTATTTATCGATTGCAATTCATAAACGACATTGCCGAATTTAACATTCAATATAGAATCTTTCCGGATCAATTTTTTATTATGAATAACAATGCATGTTCAGTTCTTCCTTGAAAACTGAGCATTTTAATCAAATGAAAAAACAAATATATCATGATCAATAGGTCTGGAATAAAGGACATTATGTTATACTACTTTTTGATGATGTCAAAAGTAATGAAATTGGAACTATTTTATATTTCATGATAAAGTTCCGGTCAAAACTCTGTTCATCTTTGGGTATAAATAATTTCCTCTGTGGTATCATATTGAATTTTGCCTACAATGAAAAGTTATTTTTTGAGTTGACAGATGATTAATGATTCTCATAATAATTACCAATATAAATGAGTCTGAATCAATGGGAAAGTTAAATTGTTCGCTCTCTCTCATTTGGCATTCAAAATTATAGACTTGTAATTTTAACTTTAGTCTAAAGTGAAATGTATTACGTCAGCAAGTTTTATTTATTTTAATTTTATTTTTTAAGCATATTGTTTCAACATCGTTACTAATGGAACGTCTGGAAATTGAAACATTAGAATATCTTGATTTAATTGTTAGCCGTGAACAATTCAGTCAGAAATATGTTCGAATTAAAACTCGCCTTTAGTAAGTTAATTTGCTGTTCGAAGAGAATATTTCTGCTTTGATTGTGCTCTTGTATTTTATAGTTATAAACAACAAAAATTTAATTTACTACGCGAAGAAAGTGAAGGCTTTGCTAAAACATTGACAGAATTAAATCAAAATTTTTCAATAACTAAATTAACATCTGAACAATTATATGATCGTTTAATGGCTTTGATTGGTTATTTTGATTTGGATCCTAATCGAATGTTGGATTTAGTGATCGAATCATTTGAGTATCATCTTGAATATTCAAAGATTTATGTTGATCTATTAAATTTACTTCATTTTGATAAAGTAACATTGTGCCAATTGATTGGCTTTAAATTTCAACAATATCAAGTAAAATATTTATTGTTTTCCATTGTTTTAATAAGACTTGTACTTTGTAAAATTTTAGTTACAAGATGAAACAGCCGATTCACTTTATTTACTAGCTGCTCAATTAATTTCCAATAATTTAATGGAACTTGAAGATTTATTACCACATGTAAATAAAAAAAAATTCGATATTTGTCTTTTCTTCATTTCTGTTCTTTTAGTTGTATCCATTAATAACAGATTTTGGAGAAAGCTATACCAAAGAAGTTGAAAATGCACGCACATCAAAGAAAAGTTTAACTACATCAACTGATTCAAGTGCTAAATCGAAAGATTCAAATATAATAGTAAGATTTTTTTTCAATTAAATACCTTCAAACTTCGAGGGATATGGACAGGCTTTTGTTCGTTTTTATTGGTGTTTCCGAGAAGACGAAGAAAATATTTGATTCTTAAGAAATCCCGCCGCTCCAGCAAAATGCCAACGGAGGTATTTTTAGTTCATGCAAGTTACATAGTCTGTAATTGAAATTAAGCAATCGATTGCAGTTTTCTTCCATAAGTTTATACTGATATTTTATACTTTCAATTATGATCTGCTTCTCCTTGGAAATCATCATCAAATCGATCGAATTTCTTTCTTTTTGTTTTTAGAAAACAAATAATCAATTATTACGTTTCATTCAAGCATTATTACATATCGGCGATTTAGAACATACATTATCTTTATTTAATAATCTTCCTCGATGGTCATGTACATCGTATCGTGAGATCAATGCACTTGTAACAAAAATAATTGGCTATATGATTGACCCACTTTATAAAAAGTAAAATTTATAAAAGAAAATTTAAATCGAATCGATTATTTCTTATTACTGTATTATTTCAGTTATTCGGATCTTCATACTAGTTTTCTTCAATACGAATTGAATAATCCATTGAATTCAAATGTTTGTCCGCGTGAATTAAAATTAATAAAAACTTGGAATGAATTTCGAGAACATATATTACCTTTGCTATTAAATCTTGGTGCCTACTGTCAAGATCGTCTTTTGTTTATGCAATTAACACGTTTATGTACAAATTTAATCAAAAAATCAATTGTTAAAGATGAACAACAAGAAGATATACTATTGTTAATCGACGAAGTTCTTTTGCCAAGTCTTTCATTACTTGATGTTAATAGCTGTTTAGCTATTGAATTATGGTCTTTAATGAAACTATTTCCGTTTGATGTACGCTATGGACTTTATGGACAATGGCAAGAAGATACTTATCGAAAAACACCACAACTTATTTTCATTAGACAAGATGTAGCAGACAAAAGTCGAGCTATACTTCGGTAAGATCAGAGGCGATTTTGTTGTTCGATTGGTTCTAAAACTTCTCATAACTTCGTGTTTGACATTGATTTATAAAAACCGGAGCGCATGTTTCGTTACTATTATCTGTCAAAAACGATGCGTGCTCATTTATTTGCTATATGAAGATAAATTTCTGAAGTCACTGAATAAGGCTAAGAAGGTTCAGTTCAAAACTTATTAAAAAAATTTTGTTTAGACGTATTACAAAAGACAATGTTAAAACATACAGTCGTCAAATAGCCAAAATAACACACAATAATCCATTAGTGATACTCTCAGTTGTAAGTAATCAACTTTTAAATACTCTACTTTTATTTTATTTTCATCGTATAATTTTAAGATAATCGATCAAATTCAACGATTTGATAATTTCATCTCTGTTATAAATGATGCATTGAAATATCTCTCACCGCTTGCATACGATATTGTTTGTTATACGATTTTACATGCTTTAACAGCTCCCGTATCATCAACATCGTCACCATTGTATATCGATGGAAAAATGAGCCGTGAAAATGCCACACCTGCTCAATGGTTTCAAAATTTATGCGTTCTATCAGCTAATGTATTTAAAAAATATCCAATTGATTTTACGTCAGTTCTTTATTATATTTATGATCAACTACGTGTTGAGAAAACCTGTGATTTATATTTATTACGTGAAATCATAACTAAAATGAGCGGTGTTGAAGTCACATCAACAGTTACACGCGAGCAATTAGAAGCTGCATCGGGCGGTGAATTATTACGCAGTGAAGCTGCACAGTTTACAGCAGCAAGAAATGTTAAAAAACCGTCGATACGTTTAAAGGAGGCCTTATTAGATAATCACATCTATTTACCATTGTCAATAATTATCGCCCAACAACGTAGTTGCATTATCTTTAAATTTGGAGCACAAAGAATTGAACACTTAAAATTAATCGGCAGTCTCTATGATCAAGTTAGTTGGGAAAAAAATAAAATTCTCATTGTTTTGATAATAAAATTATTTCTAGTGTCAAGATACGATGGTACAATTTTTTACATTTTTATCAAATGTATTAACAACAGAAAATTTTCATCATCAATTTCCATCGATTGATAATCTTGTACTTGGCTTTCATCTGCAAGTTGATGCTGCTTTTCAAATCTCAAGACCCTTGTTTAATCTTAATATTCAAGTAAATTATTTTCAACACATGAAGATTTATGATTTGATATTTTTTTACTAGGCTAAATTTGATGAACTACGATCAACAGCACCCAAAACATCAAATAAGACTATATTGGTAATTAATAGTGACAAGATTCATTAGAATCCGATTTATGAACTGACCTTTGGGCATATAAATAAGCCAATCACATCGTTACTGTAGATAATATTTGAGAGAGAGAAGAATCATTTGATAGATTCAGACCATCGTTCAGTTCTTTTTATTGAACAAGATTTATGGCAGTTGTATGAGCCAACAAAAGTAATTGGTCGTTAGCTCAGAAATGATCGAATCAGAATCATTTAGATTTACGTTGGATTTCTATCTCATGCTAAAGATATGGCATCATTATTGACTTCACCATTTGATTTATTTAGATACAAAACTATATTGATGCAGTAACAAATGTTATGTCACCGGTACTTGATTTTGTAAAAACTCTTCATCCTCAACGAACATGGGAAGAAATGACGTATGAAAAAGTTCATTTCTCGTCTTATAATTATCTAATTAGAAGAGTTTTTTTAGACCTCAATTCTATTTAACATTTTGGTCTTTATCAATGTCGGATTTACAAGTACCTGAAATTGCATATAAACGACGTGTTGAAGAACTTGAAGTTGAAATGGCACAAATTGACGATCGAAAAGAATTGGTTTGCTTTGAAAGAACCGAATTGATATTGATAATTTTCTTTTGTTCGATTTTTAGACAGCAGCAAAGAAACGTAAAGAAAAAGAAAAAATTCATATTATTATTGATAAACTTAGAGAAGAATTATTTAAACAAAAAGAGCACGTTGAACGCGTACGCGCACGACTTGACATTGAACGTGAACATTGGTTTAAAAATCGTATGTTAAATTTTAGCTTTTCTTTATTTTATTTAAATGCAGAACGAAAAAAAAAGAAGAAAATCTTTCATTTGTTTAGGAAATAAAACCAAAGCAGAAACGATTACTGAATTTCTTCAATTATGTATTTTCCCTCGATGTTTATTAAGTGAAATAGATGCACTTTATTGTGCACATTTCATACGTGTCATACACGACTTAGTAACACCGAATTTCAGTACAATTATATGTTATGATCGATTATTTTCGGATATATCATATTCACTTGCTTCATGTTCAGAAAATGAAGCTATTCGATATGGACGATTTCTTGAATCACTATTAGAGACAGTCATGAGTTGGCATGGAGATAAAAACAAATTCGACAAGGTAATATAGAACTATTTTTGGTATGCAATGAAAAATAGATGAATAACTCCATAAAGACTAACTACGAAAAAGAACGAGAATTCAAAATTTCCTATGGGCAGAGTTATTGTAGGGATTTCTTAAATCAAAGTGATTCTATCACTTTCTCTCTTGCCATAGTTTTATCTTCGTTCATCAATATTAATTTCTTTTACAAAAACTAATTCTAGGAATGCGCATCACATCCCGGCTTTCTTACTGTTTTTCGTAATGCTGGTAATGCAGCATCGAAAACAACCGGTACAACACAAACACCTGAACAACTCGACTATGATAACTTTCGTCATGTGTGTCATAAGTGGCATTATAAACTAGCGAAAAGTTTCATTGTTTGTCTTGATTCAAATGATTATATACAAATACGTAATGTATTACAAGTCTTGACTGTTCTTTTGCCTATATATCCAAAAATGACAACATTTTATGCTGCACTTGAACGCCGCATTAAAGCTATATGTGTAGCGGAGAAAGATCGTCGTCATGATTTGTTTGCATTAGCTAAATGTTATAGCGGCCGTTTAGCACAGAAACATCGTGATATGATTGAAGAAAATCAATTTCATACTGTTCCAGAACGTTCAACACCATCATCGACGAGTAATAATAATAATAATAATCCTGGTACGAAAACGAATCCTCTTGTTACACCGACCATAGGTGAAACAAATAATGTTAATCATCATCCTATTTTATCAGATTCACAACCCTCAACCACTCGCTCAGCACAAAAAGATTCAGCAAATGGTAGTACAACAGGTAAAACAAATATCATAATTCGTTTAAATATATATTATTAAACTTTCTGTTTCGGTTTTTAGCACGGCCAACGAGCGATAAAACTGTGAACGGTTCAACGACAAACAATGGATCGACAACAGCAACCAAATCAGTTTCACCTGCACCTTCATCTCAAACAACAACAGCGACTACGACAACATCACGATCAGCAACAATAAATAATACTGGTATGATGCAAAATTGTCATCGGTGTCCATCCAAGTTGGCTCTCATTCTCTATATCTACGTGTAGAACGATCAACAAGCAAACTCAAAACAGAGCCTTCGATTTCCAGCAGCAACAATAGTAGTACGACTGCGACGACGACGACGACGACGACGATAAAATCGAATCGAATCCCACATGGTCCATCACTTCCTTCATCGACGCTATCGTCTAAACCTTCGGTGACATCGACGACGCCGAGTAAAATTGAATCGAATGAATCATCGACATCAGCGGGCGGACGAACTATTAAATTGACGAGTACTACAAATGATCGCCATGAGCCACCACAAGCATCAGCAGTCTCAACAACACGTGAAAGTTCGCCGCCAAGTAGAAAAGAACCATCGACTAGCATCGATAGGTAAGAAACTAGAAAAAGAAAACAAAATGATAAGAAAAAACGAACGAAACTTTCTATTTAAAGACGACCTACTTCATCAACGACTGAACAGCTACTATCGTCGACTAAAATATCCGTGCCACCTGTCTCACGTACTACTTCGTCACGTACTTTTACATCATCGACTCGTAATACTACTTCAGCCACCATCAGCAATGATGATTTGGTTCGAAAGTAAATCTAATCTTATTATTTTCTTCTATAAATATATACATGTTTTTGTTTTTGTTTTAATAGACCAGATCCAGTGGTGTCGAATGGAATGACTAGTTCTACGTCATCGAAAACTTTACGAACTGATTCGCCTCATGAACATGGTCTTTTACTTTTTACTTTTAGTTTTTGATTAGAATTATTTTGTTTTCCTTCATTTTAGCACCAGCAGAAAAGCGAACTCGTGGTAGTTCCTCAAAGGTAAAATTATCATAAGAAAAAATAGAATCAATTATTGATATTAAAAAATCAAGACGAATTAATGTCGATTCCTATATTCTTGTTTAATAGTGAACATTAAATTATCTTCAACTAGATCGATAAAGTGATTTATTAATCAAGCAAACTATTCAGTAGAGATTCCTATTGGGGGCTTAACTATAAATGAGTTGAAGCAACTATAAAGTATACGATAGATTAAGGAAAAGCGTTTTGCGGAATACTTTCAAATAGTCAATTTGGTTAGGTGAATTTATATCTCTTTCGAAGCACTTCATAGCCATAAGTAACAGATGCGTAGAGTATATACTTTGCAATAGAAAAAATTTATGCCATCAACATTTATCTATTGCTTATGTTAAAATTAACAATGCATATATTACGATGGAGTCGTATTTGTTTTTTAGTTGAATTACACTTTCATGCATCATAGTTTTCTATATAATAAGAATTGAATAAGTCCTCGCAATAAAACATTCGTTACTATTGGTTGAAAATAAAATATCAATGAATTTTGAGATTTTGACTTTTAGAATCGTTTCTTAGTAACTTACATTTTTTGTAGGTCGATCGTACGACTGCATCGCACGTAGAGGAGCCACGTAATGGAAATTCACGTCCACATCGGGAACATAAACATGTACATTAAAAATCTTTAGGTTTTTTCTCTTCAAAATTGCATATGAATTCATGTTCAGGAATCAAGCAAACGTCCACGCTCGGCAACACCTGACAAACGATCTTCAAATGGTAGTACTGCTAGTGTTTCATCTCGACGATTAAATCAAACGGCTGAATCTTTATCAACAACACCTGTACATCAAGACAATGAACATAGCAGTGGATCAGGAATTATAGATGTATCTCCGCCGAGTTTATCATCGAAAAGAATTAAAACAAGTGAGGCAGCTTCAAATGGGCGAGCAGCACGAAAAGTAAGTTAAGAAAAAATTAATCATGCCTGGATTGATTTTTTTTTATATTCATCTAGGAAGCACGTGAAGAACGGCATGGTAGCTCGTCATCTTCACATAGAGTATCATCGTCATCATCTCGAAGTGAACGTCGCGATAAATAGTAAGTAATATTATTTTAAGTTTTTAATTGTTTTTAATCTCCTTTTAATTTAGTCATTCAAGCAAAGAAACCAAGTGAAAATATTTTTCGTCCTTTTTTCTATGTCGATCTATTTTTTTTCTGTTTCTTTTGTCAATCCATCTTTTGTTTGTCGTGTTTAAAAACTCTAAAAGCAAAAAATAAATTTATGTGTATTTGTCTGTGTGATGATCAATGGAAATGAATATCTGACAAAAAAAAAGTCACGACTTTGGTTTTTTTTAATTTTCTTCATAATCCTCTCATTTCTGAGACTGAAAGAGTTGTACTGGATAATTTGATCGAGGAGTAGTATTCATCATGATTGGTAATAATGAATTATTTATGATATAATATTTGCTTTCTCTATTAAAGAAAGAAGAAAATATAAACGAATAGAAAAATCATAGCAAATATATCCTTTTATTTTCTTTGATTGTTTCACAAACTGAAAATAATTAGACTAAACTGATAAATAAAGTAGTCAATTGAAAGACAGAAGAAAAATTTTCGCATCTTGAAAAATCTGGGCCTAAAACTGATGCTTTTTAACGATTGTTCTAAAAATCACTGGCCGTGTTGGTTCTCCTTTAGAGAGTTATCGCTCTTCTTGATCATCTTCTTGCTAAAATTGAGAATAATTGCGAACAATTTTTGAATCAACGAAAAATAAATTGAGGAATCAATAGTATCACATTAAACTGACACAAACTACACACCAGTTATCGCATCATTTAGCTGACGAATAGCAAATTCTGAACTAAATCGATTGCTCTCATCAGTCTTGTGTTGAAGCATCCGCTTACCTAGAGATGCAGTGCATGCTACGGTAGTCGTTACTTGAGACGTTCACAAATAGACGAATCAAGAATAACTGGCAAGTTTTCTTTCTCAGGTCTAACTCGTACGACGGAATACTGCATCCACGTTCCAGTGATTTCCTGTATTTTCCTGCAGGATACGGTGGTATTCCCCGCATTTTCCTACTGGTTCTCGCAGTATCCGTTCTCCGGAATCATCAACCTGGGATTACTCAAATTTAGCTTATCTAATTTCTCTCACCATAACACGAATTAACAAAAAGACATAAACACGTACTAAAACAAGGGTAAAGAATACAGATGTTGTTTACACGTTCGTTTGAAGAAAAATACATATTATATATATAATAAATAGAATAGACGCCTTCACTTTATCAATGAATAGCTAGAACTGTATCATCGACTTCCAGAAGTATGCTAATTTCCGATTTCATATATAGAAATTATTTTTAAATTATATTCTTTTGCACTCGAAACTTCTGATTGTGGCCAGCACAAGTTCTGTTGGAATTCTATTATACTTGAAGCGTTGATTTTAATTCACAATCAACCATTTTGGCAGTATTGACTGAAAAGATCGGGCATAGCATGAGCTAATGATTACTATTGCTGAGAAATTCAAGAATTCAAAATATCAGTTGCACATACCACATCATCATCACAGATATATTCAAAATTTAAATTGTACACACTATGATATAGCAATCAGTCTGCATAATTCATGTCCGACCTCCATAGAAGCTAGTCAAATAGTAACATTCAATTTTGTTAAAATTTATGCATGCCGTGAAAGAAAGAGTTTCAGAAAGTTTAATGAAACCCATCTGAAAATTATTATTATTCTCTACAAAATTCGACTTCTCACGGACGTTTTCTTTCAGCATAAGAGATTAATGGAAGCATCATAGATATGATTTCAGATTACACATTCAATATTGCAAAATTACTCGAGAATTCTTTTGATCTAGGTATGCGGAGCCTTATAGATACATATACAAAACTGGATCTCATGCCATAGAAAATGAAATGATTATAAAAAGTGAATGGAAGCGAATCCCAAAATTCCTTCTAATCAAAAGTTGCGTATGAAGATGGAGGCTAGCTTTAATTTGAAGTCGACCCGACCTCGATAGCTTTCATAGCCATGAAGTTATTCCGATTGTCGTAGAAGCTATAAAACAAATCGTTAATCTAGTTTGATAAGGTGTAAAAAGCTGAAATTTTTACTACACGCGTGTCTCACTTGGAACACTGGCTCCTGTAAGTTGCAACCAAAACGAATCGTTCCAAGTGGAAAGTCGATTCTGAGAGTTTGGGAGCTTGATAGAACAGTACCATTAGGAACAATAGGTTCATTTCAATATAATTAGATAAATATTTAACTCTCTATTATTCTCAGAAGTGAAGCACCTCTAAAAGCAATTAAATGGAATTTTTGCTGCATTCTTATACTGCCGCTCAGAACTTTGCATTAAACACCTGTTTCTGCGAAACTCCTGGCCTTTCTCGGGAGATTTTGCAAAAATGCGCTCCTATCGAGTTTTCAGTCACTTTTTAAAGGAGCATAAAGCATGATTAATAACATCGATTGTGTAGTTCCTATGACAGTCAGATATAATTTGTGTGGATTGGCTGCTAAGGAATAAGAATAGCGCATAAGTTAATAGAATCATATAAAATTGATCGAACACTATGATGTTTTCGTACAAAAGTCTTCTCACATATTTTCTCTCTTGTGACTTGGAACACAATGATTCTGAATCGTAGTGACTCTCTTTTGATGGAATAAAACGTCATAATGCCTTTAGATTATCTACAACTTTGTATCCGGTTAGTTTCATGGAGAAAAAGGAGTTGTTGTTAATCAGTGATTTAAAAACATTTTTCGATAGTCAAAATATGTTGTCTGCTCTCTTAGAAAAAAAGGTGCCATACTGAACCATCTGGACTAAAAAATGGTTCTGGCGAAGATACTGAATCTTTTAAGGTTCTATTCGTTTATTAATAAACCCTCAAGGGTTCTAGCTAATTTCCAGAACCATCTCAGGTCCTCAATAGTTCCGGACGTTTGAAAGGGTTCTGCCTTGTGCCATTTGTTTTACGCTGAACCATTTTTCCAAAGATGGTTCTGGTTTAAACATACCCACACCCACACACCCTCAAGGTTAAGGCTAGAAATAAGGGATTAAATATGGAATTAACGGTTGGATAAAGCATTAGTCCGGAGTACGAGACTAATTGAGTGTGGTGGAGTACATTTTACTCCTCTAGAACCATTTTTGGAAGAAATACGAAAAGGTTCCAGCTAGAACCAGATTTTGCTAGAACCTTAAATGGTTCTGAATGGCACTTTTTTTTTTTACAGAGAATGGTCCTCAATTTTTACATACTTTCGTCGTATTCAAAATAAAATGTCGAATTTCACGGTTTTTGAGATTGATGGTGGCACGTCGCCAACTGTAGCATTCGTTGAATTTTACGAGCATCGAGATCATTTCGATTATTATCTCTTATTTCTACGGAAGTATAAAGATTTGCCTGCGATGGAGATTTACATCAGAATTCAACCATCCCGTCGATGTCGCTCAATCCATGAATTGTTCAATGAGACTATCGTTGCTCAGCCACCGTTACGTTGTGTTAAGAACTATCAAAGACCATGTCTTCAGTCGCATAAAGGAGAAGTGTTGATATGTTTTAATAATGAAAAACTCATGTGTTTATGTGACCGAATGAATCATGCTGATTGTTTCAATTTTCAGACAACTCCTTCAGGTTGTCCATGGAATACATGCAGTGGTCGAAGCATATATGTTCAAGATCACGAAAGTTGTCCAACAATTTCAGTATGTATTTGGGAAGCACGCAGCTATGGATCACATTGTCAATTTAAGCGTGCTGGTTATTCTTCGTCACTCGATGCCATCATTGGATCGCATATCCTATCGACTACAACAAATATTCTTCATCAGACGGTAGTCATTCAAATTAGTGTTGTTATCCTCAGCATTTTAATCACGCTTGAAACAGTTTTCAACTTATTCGCTATTGGTACATTTAGTCGACCAGAAACACAAGACTCAGGATGTGGTATTTACTTCTTTGTCTCATCATGTATTGGTCTAGTCACTACGATAGTACTCATGTGCAATATTTTTATTGTTTTAAATATTGATATGGGCAATATTAGTTGTTTAGTTGTTGAATTTCTACTCAAGTGGTGGCCAACAACTTGGTGAATGGTTAAACACATGTGTAGCTATCGAATATGCATGGGTTGTTATGTATCTGACTAGATATTCACGTTTACTAAGTAAACCAGTTGCTAAATGGGTTACAGGATGTGTGATCATATTATTGGTTCTCGTATGTTCTCCTGAATTGATTTATCATCGTATGGTCATCAATACTAACGATGAACGAGCCTGATGTGTACTTACATTGAATGGTGATAGGCCCGCTCTCTTAAAATTATATTCAATTTCAAATGTTCTCTTGTTCTCACTCCCAATAGTGACCAACTTATTGAGTAGTATACTCACTATTCGGGGAACTATTCTCAGTTAGAAACAAGCTACGAGGAAAATTTCTACTGCAACTATTGCCAATGAGAATGAATCATTTCGATCACGATTTGAAGCTATCAAAAAGAAAATTATTGTACCTATTCTACTCAGCATATTAGCTGTACCTCGTCTTGTGTTTGCTCTTATATTTGTATGTACAAAAATTGATCGATGGCTATATATCAGTTTGCTTACCTATTGTACTGGTTTTCTATCATGCAGTGCCATACTCTTTGCATTCATTGTACCATTGCAACTTTATCGAACTGCATTATTGATGTTTGTCAAACAGATTCAAGTTAGATGTTTCCGAAATTTATTTTCTGCTCGTGAGCACACTACTTTACTGAATTTATGGTATGCAATCAACAATGACAATTTCTCTTTGAATTGTTCGTCAGAACTGCTGATGTATTATTGAAAAACAATACGCCGAATAGGTGTACTGCAAAACTCAAGATTGTATGTTGTTGCTTTCGTTGTTGTCTTTTGTGAATGTTGTTTTTAATGATCATTTAATTTAATAAATTTGATCGCGTCTAACATAGAATACAAAAATCTTCGAGAGAATATCATACTTCGCTACCCCAATATCATCAAGCGTTAAAACATGAAAGAGTTTTTGTTCCAGAAAGAGAATCGACTGAATAACGAATTTTCTCCGTCTAGATAGTTTTGTAGAACGAATCAAAGAGGAAGAAAAGCAAAAGTTCAACGCATATTATAAAGTTTTTGAAATGTTGTCAGCATACAAAATCGTAGTTCATTTTCCTATTCATTTTTGGATACTAGAAGAAAAAGTTACATGTTTCAAGATGAATTTTACAGCATGAAGATCACGTCATCAATTGGTATAGTAGAAGATAAATCTATTAATTGCTGTATAAAAGAACATATGTACACTACAGTGGCGTAGCCAGTGCGGGGGGGGGGG